CTACGAGTATATTTATTTGAATGACACTTTGTATATACCACAAACTTTTTACTTAACAAATGCACGCAATATCACGGGATACATACATATATGTAGTATTATATATTTCAAGTACGTATTTTTTTTAATTTACCTATCCACCACCACCTTCATTCTTATATAATAAAACAAAAGCAAATCCGTAACAATATATTATAAATTACAATGAATATCTTAAAACTAGCTATGCCCGCTACTTCGTTCGCACAGCGCACCCAAAGGAAGCCCTCAAATATCAAATAATTTCAACGTTTTTTCACTGATGCTTCGTTTCTATTGGTCGTAGCGTAATGTTATATAGCTTAAAGCCTTCCTCGTCAATGGGCTATGCAACACAAAATGAATTTTTCAAATCGAACCAGTAGTTCCTAAGCTTAGTGCGTTCAAACAAACAAATTCTCCAGCTTTATAATACATACATATATATATTAGTATAGATTATCACCTTTAAATGACAAGGCAATTGGATTAATTGTTCAAGACACTGGATAGCCTGCGTTATATACGGAATGTATACGAAGGATTAACTAGATGTCCTTTGTCTAGATATACTGCAATTTTAATTATGAAGTCTACTTGAACAATAATTCCGTATTCATAACTACCACCGTCTCAAGATGCGTCTATGTTACCTATTTAGCAAGGTGGTCTGAGTGCAGGGTTATCAACATAAAGTATTAATTCTATTACGAAGACATAAAAAATCTCGTATTTTGACTCAATTTCCCTCTCTAACATCGCCCATAATCACATTTTAACCGATTTCCATATGTTAAAAATATTTAACACTTTTACAAACTTTAAAATTTCATTATACCGACCTGTACAATGACACTCGTATGGTTGGCAGCCCTGTCCGAGAGAGACAATGACAGTATTAAAGTCAAACGTCTTAAATTACATTGTGCAAAGTTTAGTGTGCTCTGTGCTGTGAAAAATAGAACAAAACAATGTAAAATAGTCTTTAAACATTTTACAATTAAGCCCTTTTACAAGTGTGCAATATATAATATGTATAGAAAACACTTATATTATTATATAACTTAATATTACAAGTAATCAAACCGACTCGTAGTCATAGAATACTGTGATGATATTCACAGAGTACCTACTGGTGTATGTAGGAGAAGACTAGAAAGTGATTCCAATTTCCAATACTAATACTATGGAAATATTTTAAAGATTTATTGCTGATAGTTAAATTTTCTAGATTTATACATTATGTTCGGAAATGTGATATGACGTAAATTAGGACCCCTCCCATCTATTTTATCAACAAAATTTAAATTTTATAATTATTATAAGCATATCTGAAAGAAAAGTGAAATGTATAATGAAATTTCACACGAGTGTACAAAACGTATAATTGAATATAATAATCTGCGAAGAAACCGAACAAACCGCCAATGTGTCTATATATATTTTTAAAAATAATGGAGATTTAGTAATCACATTAAAAAAAAAATTCTTTCATAAAAACGAAACGATATAAAAAAGTCAAGTAGTAAGTTAACACAATACTTATTACCTATAGTATACTTGTAACATAAACTATGACTTCGTAGTATTGATCTGTCATCTAGTTCAATAGCTATAAGTGAATTTCTCTTGAATTATACAATGTTGCTTCGAAAAATCTTTGTCACTGCTATGATTTTTCATTGCGTTACACAGAAGACCGACCACAGACTACATAGAGATTAAAGAGTACTGCATCTACTAATACTACCTACTACAAACACTCAACTAAACAACCTACACAGATAGACGGACGATCGTAAACCAACTTATGTTTTTATCGCTATACATTGCCGCGATCTAAGATTTTCTCGGGAAATGCAAAACCTCGTAACCATAAACCGACGCTCAAATAATCTTCGTATGTACATAGGTACAGCGATAAAATATTACTACTTACTCGTATTAAAATCACTTATAAGAGTGATTCGTTAAATCCTCGTATTTTATATTATAGATATAGGTACAAAGGGAAATTTCAGAACTTCTGGCAACGTTGTTTAATCTACAATTGTACAGAAAATAATGGAAGGCGACAGACACTGCAGCACTGGACTAAGTTAATTTCAACATTCAATTGATACGACAGGCGGGAAGCGACGACTTTTGCTATTATATATTTCTACATAAACATCGACAGTAATAAAACTCAATATAATCAACGTTCACCACAATACTACAGGTCATAATGATATATGGGATAACAATCGTGATAATGTTATGTAGTTAACAAAAACAGAGTAAAATATTAAATTTTCGATTTCACATTACTCACTCACTATATAACTCCCGGCTTTGTGGCGTAGTTCAGAAATTACTGCATTGAATATTTTAAGTATCATTCAGACTTTAAAGAAGTTACAATCTCTTTACATTATTTTTATGTCCAAGTATATCTGTTTGTAAGTTGCCCTTGTAAACGATAGTTTTTTTAAAATCAATTACAATATTGAATTCATTTGAAAACGAATCCATATAAAATGTATGTTTTTATTTATTTTTTAGTAATATACGCGTGGCCATAATTACAGTTGATCTTAAAACTTTGACTTATTGCTTGCTTTAGGTTAGGTTAAACATAATATGAATAATTTGCAGTAGATGAACATAGAATAATATTATATATCACATTTTGACCTACGTAATGCACCAAGTACCATTACCGGATAATTTTATACGAAATTATGGATATCAAATGATGAACTATACCTATATAATATTTAAACAACAAACAACATATTTTAATTTCTAAGCATTATTTGCACATTGACGAGTTAATAACAAAGCCGGGTTATATAACCACAACAATATACGTAAACAAAGTCTGTTTTGTACTTTTGTCCTACATTTTGTATTCCAGATGCCGGATAAAATTGAGGCGTAATAAAAATGGGTAACGCTTGAGAAAATCTAGCACAGACTATTTACTCCTTAATTAGAATATGGCGCTGATATCGATGCAAATTTAAACAATCCTGTCAGATTTGTTTATTGTGAAACGTTTCTTACGCATACGATTAGTGATCTTTGTCCATTTTATTCCTTATTTATTTATTTAAATAACCTTGTTGACCGAATTTATATTCTATTCCATTTTAATAAAGTATTACTTTATTAAAATAGGCTAGTTATTTAGGCATCAGTAATTTTTTCGATTGAACAGATACAGTAATCATTAATAATTTAAAAAAAATTTTTTTAGATACTCAGTAATCTTTATCCTACTAAATAAACTTATTGTTAATATTATCTATGTTAAATTCAAACCTATAAAAAAACTAGCCTATTTAGTATGTTTGTTTTTTTTTGAGTAGGTATTTACTGAAATGAATTAACTATTGTAACTTTGTTTACGATTAATCTATTACAATGGTAGTATTACTATTGTAATAGATTAATCGTAAACTTAGTCAGTCAATACAAAAGAATCTATCATCATCTAAAAATACTGTCAGAGAAAAGCCAATATTACTTCTCTACACTGCCAGTAGGGAGCTGACGTGTATGTATATAGCAAGATAGTTAAGCGATACGTTCATAGACCACAGTAAATTTCCTAGAGAATATTATAACCCGTAAATGGTTCTACCAAACTGTCCCGGGAACAAAGGCCTATGTAATAGTGTTGTTTCAACGCCGATTTATCTGATGCCCCGGACAGGATATATGGACAGCGGCTGAGCCCAATCGTTAAATATAATTATTGTTTATCTACAGGACATTGTTTCCGCTTCTAAGACTCAATTTAGCGTATTATTTTTAATAATTATTATCCATTACTTATATTATATGAATTCATTACTATATTAGAAAAAAGTAATATATTATGTCGTAATAGCGTAACAAAGTCACTTTTTGATTTAGAATAAATAATAGGTTTCCAATAACTATCCGTAATGGATTTTTAGTAATATTGGCAAACAAGCATACGGCCAATCCGATGGCCAATAAACTCTGACGATTAACATTTCTCCTACAACATTAATACAATCGCGTTGAACATGTGTAGGTATACAAATTGTGGCCAATTTATTGCCTTCTAAATATTCTATCAGTTTTACTAATATTATGAATGTGAATCTGTTGTCTGTTGTTCTGTCTGTTATTCTATACAATAAAACGATCTGTACTTCGAAGATATTACAAGTACAGAAATAGGTTGTTATTTATCTCAAAATACTTGCTGCTTTTCAACGTATTTATATTAGTAACATACTTACAATGGTCGCAATTTGATATTTCTTTATCATATTATTATTATAATTACAATACATGGCATCTTATATAGTTCAATTAAACCCTTATTGAATGACCTCCGCTCACCGTCGTGATTGACCAATACCCATTAACTCTGGGGACAATTTAATTAATTAAATATAGATACACAAATTAGTTTCTATAATGCTTTGGTTGGATTATCAACGTCAAAGAGGATAATTGCATCACAGTCAAATAGTGAGACTATATCGACAATTTCCTAACCATTATTATTTGTTACTAGTTGACACGCGTAACTTCGTCTGCATCACGTTGTCCCCGTTATTGCAACTTTTTTTATTGCAGCGACGCTCCTGTTAATCGTCGAGTATATAACCTATAACCTTCCGTGATGTATAGGCTATCCAAGATTAACAGATTTTCAAAATTAGATCAGTATACCGGATATTGACCCTAAACGCTCAAACCTACAATCTATACTTCTTTCTTATAGACTTTGGTATAATCATTATAGAGGTCTATTTTATAAATATAATATGTTGCTTATATTACACGTTAATAATAATAGGCGAATGAAACCCAGCATTTACTCATTGTATATGTCACAAACAAAAAAATAAATCTTACCTCTTTAAGATATTAGCATTAGTTAAGAAAATGCTTAAATAGAATACATCGACTGGACATAACATTTCATTTTAAGAAATATATTTTTTTTGTTGCAGTTATGACCGCGATCAGCCCTTCAGCTTCCAGATCGGTGTAGGCCAAGTTATTAAAGGATGGGACCAAGGTCTACTGAACATGTGCGTAGGTGAGTATACAACAAAAAGGTTTAGTTGTCTATCATATTGCAAAACTAAGACAATAAATTATTAGAAATTTAAGACAAAGTCTGGAATTAGATTATCAAAAAACTTGTCTCGAATATCTTTGTAGAAAGTCGTCTGTGTCTCACTTGTGTCTGCTGCCAAGCGGCTTGTTTTTTAAGATACGGTTTGGTTTTTTTTATGGATGATAATGGAATGTCCCGACCCGTCTGCGCTGACGGTTTACGCTGGCGGGGCACCAGTGGAGGATGATAAGAATCAGATGAGCATGAGGTCAAGTCATTTAGCCCATCGTGACAAATTCACTAAGAATTTATCACGATGGTTTCCAGGGGGAATCGCGTGGAGGTCAACCTGACATGGTGCGGTGCTAGTAATGGGGTTATTAGTCCACATTACTAACAATCCCCTTCCCCCCGATAAGGTTTGGTTGAAAGGTGAGATATTATAGTGAAACATGACATCAATAGAAGCATGACATCTTAATCCTCTTAAATGGTCCCTGAGTATGATCACCAACGCCTTATGATAATGTGATGTCCGTGATGTTATGGATGTATATAGATGACGGTTACCACTTACCATCAGGTGGTACAGCTTGTTTTGGAATTCCAATAAAATTAAGAAAAAACGAAAAGAATTAGATATTGGGTGTCATAATCGCACTATACTTGGAGACGATAGATGGCCCAATAGGATATTTGCCATTGCCAAATTATAAAAAAAATACCCGTGACCAAACAATATATTATTTCATAGATTAATTACAGTAAATATATATTTCTTACTCACTCACAAATATAAAGCCTTAATGTTCCATCCAAATTTTACATACAAAAGCATTCATGTTCATTTATCACAATACCTAACTTTATGGTTTCAATTAAGTTTGCTATAAAGTGTATTAAGTATATAAAGGTAGTTTTCCGTAACATATATGATATTACTTTCATATAATAAACTTCATGAAGCCTGTAATATTACCCCTTACAGATGAATGAATGAAATCCTATTTAAACTTTCAATTACTTACCAAGCTACTTTGTTAATTGAAACAGGCATTTAGTATATTAAAACAAAGATGAATTAAGGCATTTATCGGTATATGAAATAATTTTATGTACACATAAACAACTTTTCGAGTTTCTGAATAATTTTGCAATAAAGATATCAATAAATAATAATGAACGATAAAATATAGGAGTAAGTACTTATCTAGTAAATTTGTTTATATTTAAGATATACTTTATTCTTATCTGCTTTATAGAATTTCAGACTAAGCAAATAACTAAGCTAGTAGATTATTACGTAATTGACAATGCAAACAAGCTGATAGCCCACCCTATGGAGAGTACTAACCGTCGCCTACAATCGGGTAACAGTCGGGATGCTAGCAATGACACTTATCAAATTCCTGGTGAATTTACCACGATGGGCAAACTGACTGGTGCCTTGCCATCGTATACCGTTATCGCAGGCGAATGCACCATTCCATTAAAAAAAACATATCTTATATACATGAACAGCACTATAGACATAGCGTTATCATGTGACCCCCGTGATACCATGAGTTATTCCGGTGGTATAAAATGTCAGTGATCTTATCATGTAATTACATGCAAATAAAATTTTTACTGCCTTTTCTTAATCTTCACCTAAAATGAGGCAAGCTTCTTGCAGGCCTAAATAGGTGTACTACCGGTATACACATACGACTTTTAACAAAGTGTACTTTGGTTAGATTGTTAATGATTAGTCTCACACCAGTAAGTTCTTGTGTTTTTATATGTTAGCGTTATTGTTGGTAACTATGTTAAAAGATAGATAATAATATTTAAATGCGTTATTAGAAGATGAGTCTGTATAAAACGTTTTTAATATTTAAAGCCTTTGTGTTTATAACAGCTTTCTCTAAGCAAATTGAAAGAGAATTATATATTGTACAAAAGTGCAGTTTCTTAGGTATATAACTAATAATGTATAGAACCACAGATAACATAATTGAATTAAAACGTTAATCGTGTTGTGCCGACATAAGGCACTAATACTTTTATATACATGAAATCTCTTTAAAAAAACGATATGTTTATGGATGATTATACGTTGCGAGGCTGGCGAGGCAACAGCCCCTGTGAAAGGATAATACTATGTGCATGAATATGGGCTAGGCCAGGCTAACAGACCTGAGTAGGTCTGTTAGCCCATCATGGCAAATTTATAAGGAATAAACTACGACAATTTCAGGGCTCCCAGGAATGTCGTTCTGATATTGCTAGTAATGTCACAAGTCAGGGGAGACAAAGGATTGTTAGGAATGTGGACTGTTAATTTCGTTGCTAGCAATGTCAAGTTGACCTCTACGCGGTTCCATCTGTAACAATCGTGATAAATTCCTAGTCAATATGTCACAATGAGCTAACTGACCTGACCTTATTTTTATCTTATCAAACTCCACTGGTGCCCTGCCAGCGTAAATCGTCAGTGCAGGTGGGTGCACCATTACCATATTTATTACAAATGTCGCTAGTCCACATTACTTACAATAACAGTAGTTTCGTTGTTGTTGTTTTTCGAAATTTAATGCCAAGCAAGCTGTAGGCTTACCTGATGGTAAGCGACAACCGTCACCGTTATATATGAACAGCACTACGGACATCACGTTATATGTTTACAACTTGTGCAGTGCTAGGTCTGAAGACTAAGATGTCATGCCTCTTATCCTGTAATTTACCTGTCTAATCTAACTCTACAACTGAAACGCAGCCTACAAAATATAGCTGCTTGGCCACTGAAATAGGTGATTGAGGTTGCCACGTAGTCTAGTTTACAGTCTACAGTCTAACCTCTGCTACAGTGAACATATGTGGTTTACTAAGCTTGCATATATTATAAAACTATGTATTGAAATATTCCAGGTGAGAAACGCAAATTGACCATTCCATCGTCGCTCGGCTACGGTGAGCGTGGGGCCGGTAATGTGATCCCCCCGCATGCTACTCTCCATTTCGACGTTGAGTTGATCAACATTGGCGACTCGCCTCCGACCACCAACGTGTTCAAAGAGATCGACGCTGATAAGGACAACATGCTTTCTAGGGAAGAAGTGAGTATCGAGTTAGCGTTCCAAGCAATGGATACCAATTGGGACAAAGAATTGTCTCGCGAGGAGGTCAGTCTCGGTGATATGAGGTGACGGGTGGAGGGAAGCTAGTCGCTATCGGGATTGGCCGGTTTCGGGGTGGTTACTACTCTTTGATATTATAATTGCAAAATTTATCCTTGTAATTAACTAGCGAACACCTCCGGCTTCACACGGATGCAATTGTTTTTAGGGATCCTTGTAAATAATAAGTCTTCATTCCGTAATATCATTAATATATGATGTTTGTTATTATACAGCAACATGCTTAATTTATTCATGACTAAAATTTATATTACTATGTCAAAACTGTTGTACATGGGGTAGCTTTGTTTTAGAAAACAATGTTCTCTTTATTTTACCCCTGATAGTAACTAACCTAGTAATGTTTCTAGCATATAACTTAAAGCCAGACATAAAACACGTTTGTTTTATAAATGCACAGATCAATATTATAGACATTATCATAGACATGCATATAGGTACTTGTTACCTATCGTGTCTACTTTAATCTTTAATTATATAATTGTCCAGATAAAGAAATACCTAACGGCATTTTATTTTATTTCATAATAGTTTTAAGAAGTTAACTGTTAATGTGTGCAATTAATACACAGTATTATTATCTTTTTCTACATTCTTTACGTAAAATAAAATGTTCAAATCGTTTATTTGTGTGTAAAGTTTTCACGTAAAATCAGATGAAAGAAAATAATGAGATTATTTACTCAAATATGTACTTAATTTTATTATATTTATTTGAAATTATTATTTTAGTAAATATATTTCAATAAAAGCGGCGACGTATATATCTTTATACCATTATTTTTCATAAATGAGAACAATGTTTTAGATCTGATTTTCGATATATGAAGAATAACCAAAGCACAACGTACAAAGATATTAGTGCTATGTTTTTTTGCGGATTATAATGTAACAGGGCTCTGTATGCGCTAATGGCGCTAATGGTAAACGCTGACTGGGCACCGCTCAAAAATAAAAGGATGATGGAATCATACTACTTCGCCTCTCTCATGTCCACTTCTTTTTCATTGGATTATAAATTTACTCTGGTAACCCTATTCAGGCATAAGGGAATAAAAATGTTCATTTATACTAATATTATAAATGCAAAAGTGTGTCTGTCTAGCTTGTTACCTTTTCACGGCTAAACGACTTAACGGCTCTTAATCTTTATCACGAATAAGCAGACGCAGCCGCGGGTATTACTAGGTAAATAAGTATGGTTTGACAACAATTATTATAATATCTGGACAATTACATAATCTAAGCTTTTAGTATGTAAATGTTATTTAAAATAATATAACTAAACATATTTTAATTATCTACTGTCTATCTAACCAAAAGTATGCGGTACTCTCTTGTACTTTTTCACTACTAAACAATGCATGTCGTCTGCATGACACCTCTATCTGGTGTAATTCTTCCAACGGCGCGCTGCTACAGCTATATAGTATTTAGGTTTTAACTTTTTAAAATAATTGGTAGGCAAATTTCATGGTACTAAGACGTACCATCATAAACGTCATGGGCACTAGCGCAGAAGGAATACAGAATATTCAATGATGCTTATGCGGTACTACTAGTCGACTTCCATTTCTATTTCAAGTCGTAAATATAAAGAAATAAATGACAGATTCTATTGAGAGAGAAACATGATAAAAATCATCTAAATTTACAAATTACCTATACTCAACAATACAATTTTGGAAATAAGAACAACACAGGTGTTTCTACTGAAAGTGATTTAAAATAACGATTGATATTCGATAAGTGTTGTGATTCCTTAATTGGAAAATTACATATGCTACCGAGTATATTAATTAGGTATATATAAAGGTCATTTAATTATATAACCATAAAGGTGTACCGGAATTAATATGACCGAAATAAATGTATCTAATTTGAACGTTATTTTAATAAATTTAATTATCGTCGCTTCCTGGATACCTACCATTGTCCCGTCTGTAAAATAACAGAAATATCATGGACTGTCCAACTTTAAACCTCGACAAATATTACGTCATAACGTTATTACGTTTTGAGTTTCTATCTTTGTTACCAAATATTTTAATTGTTAAATTGCTCTTTGAATTTATACGGCAGCAGGTAATATAAAGCAATCCCCTAGAATAACTTTTATTTAAACCCGGACGTTGAAATTTTCAATTAAATAGGAAATATGGTAATTAAATAATCTTAATTGTATACACTTTTCAATTCCCGCCTCTGTGAATCCACGAACACACCACAGCAAGGTGGATTCTGAAAATGCAGAAAGATATTCGACTGTTACTCTTTAGTCAAATACCTAATACAAATTAAATTCTGAAGGAAGGAAAAAAGAAAAATTCCTAATGGAGTAATCGGACGTTATTAGGTCTCGACGTTACGGAGTGCCATTAGAACCTATAGTTGAGGAAAATTATATTTTTTAATATATGAATTAATATTTTGCACTGCAATTTTCTAGGACTATATGCCGAATTGCAACATAATAATCTATATCAATCTATTATTTGCATAATACTGTCAACTTATTAGCTATATTTTATCCTACAGGTCAGCGAATACCTGAAGAAGCAGATGGTGCCCCCTGATGGTGTTGAAATGAGCGAAGACATCAAGCAGATGTTGGAGAGCCACGACAAGCTTGTAGAGGAAATATTCCAACACGAGGATAAAGACAAGAACGGCTTCATTAGCCACGAGGAGTTCTCTGGACCTAAACATGATGAACTCTAAGTCTTTACATTTAGTAACTAATTTCCACTCCCACGAATATTCTAGTAATTTATATTTCGAGGGAGAACTGCCTATAAGACTTTCGAGTGTGAGTGTTCATTAAACACCGATTTTTAGATTCAAATTCAGTATAGATAGGGTTGTCATATATAAAGTCAACTGAGAAGAATATGATATCTTTAGAACGACTTTTTGACGTTGACTTTTACTGTATCTCCATATATTACTAGTATAAGTACTGTGTAGGTGTAAGAACAATAAATAATGCAAGTCATTGTTTTGATGTGTAGGTACAATAATATTTGTTTAAACTAATTCTGTTACTTTAAATTTTAGTATGTTTATTATGGTTTTCTTTAAAATCCATCGGATGGCAACCCTTTATACCTAAAACACCATACTGTCACAACTCGGTCTGCAGTTGAATGTGGGCTTCCATACGCATTCTCCATTATGTGACGCGTGTGTGAGAGTCATTTTTAAACAAGTTTTGTTGAGTCTTTTGTACTTAGTTTACCTATGTTGTTGACGTAACTATGAATTTGTTATAATGTTAGGATTATATATATTGTAATAAATACTTAGACTAAATATTTAGTCGTATATATACAAATCTAATTTCAAGCATAATATTAATCTAAATTCGTTTTGTATAAAATTACTTTCTCCTTCAGTGTTGCCATTCTATTGATGGTTTCATTCAAAAGTAAGCCTTATATCCTGTCAATTAAACTCTGAATTCTGTATTGTATCTGAATACATTTCTTATTTGGTCGTTAACTATTCAATCAGGGTCCTACCTTAAGTTGTATCTTCATTATAAGTTGTAAATATTTACAGTTATCGAAATTTGTCTGTATGAAATGTATTGAAATATCAACACAATATTGTATTACTTGCATAATCAATACGATTGTAATCAATTGCATAATCAATATTACATATTTAACTCTTATTCTGTATTAGGTACTTCTATAAATAGAAGGCAAGGATAAATTTATAGGATACTGCATATGAATAACTTTTCAATTACGTATGTACACGATGTTATACACATTATTGATATAACTCCATTCAATGTTCATTCCGCTGATATAATAAACATATTTAAAGAACCAACTAGTTTTTGTTTTATTACAATTTCCTCTATATTTTCTTTCACTCTATAGTCTAATCTAAGTTCCTACCTAATGTCTACAATATCTAGTTTTTTATTATCATAATTATTATACGAGGACGCTGATACCTTAGAGGCAATACTGTCAGTGATGGGAATATTACATATGGTAACCCTTTTACCATATAATAATAACAATATTGTTATGAGAAGAGGTCTCTATAATACAGATCACCAGGCCCTCAACCGTTTACATATGTGATATACCTTATATATATTACAATACTTATACTACACCAAATAAATTATAATCATAATATTTAGAGAAAAAAAAAAGTAATGAAAATGAAAAAGGTACATAATAGTGGAAGGAGAATAGCAGAATACGAGTGAGAGTATAGCGAGTTTCCTATTAGTAATGTCGATACACGAACAATATCGGGTCGACCTAAACACGGTCCTCCCGGAAATCGTCGACTAGTTAATTCCTGATGGTTTCGCTGTAAGGGGCTGACTGACCTGACCTCATGTTCATCCTTTCATCGATCACTGGTGCTCTGGCAGCCTATACAGTTAGAATAGACGGGATATAAGTACACCATCATCCTAATATAACTTTCATAAAGCCATCTACTGACAATCTACGTTTCGGCAATACAGCCTAGATACAAAGATGAGTGGTGACCATTTAGGTAGCTGTATTTAATTAATTATGAAAACAAAATTGAAGTAAAACAAAAAGCTATTAATTTTTAAGATAAGAAACTAATTATATCCATTCTGGTGAATCGGCCACATTGGAATTATACATTACCTATACCGATTCAATACACTTCTAGTTACTGTATATGCGTATGATATATAAAAAAAAAGTAAAAAGAAATTAGATAATACATTTTTTTTATTATCACAAATGGATAACTTGATCTTACATTCACTTGATGGAAAATTATGGAGAGAGCTGATGAAGCAGGCTTAGGCAGACGATACCTATGCATCTTTGATTTGAAAGTCTGGGATTTTAGTGAGTCGTTAATTTACGCTGATACTTTTTATGTAAAGTTTTGAGATTTATTGATGTAATACCGGTCTAACATAAGACTACAGTACCTATTCAGGAATTATGATCAATTGATTTAATAATCACAATTGCTGCTTGCAACCTAATGCTAATTTCATACAATTACATATCTGAAATTAGTATTAGTTTAATTAAATTAAAATGTGCTGTAAATTCCTCGCAGCCCGGACTGCTAAAACGATGAGCCTTATCCCGCATAGCACCATAGTTGCTATAAAAAGTTAAGCAATAATATACTATGCTTTGTACCAGGTTAAAATTCCAGCAACGTTTTTTAAACCTAATAATAATTAGTTAACAAACTACATTGTCCTAACGTTTTAACAAAACGTTAGGACAATGTAGATAGAAAGTAAATATACCAAATCATTAAATAAGTTATAGTGACCGGGTCACGATAACTTTTAACACTCTTGTTGACCACCACAACAGGAATTTAAGAATTTATAGGGTAAAAAGTACATATATAACTATGTATTCTATAGATACTTAATAAAGAAACCAAATAGGTTCTTATGTTTTTCTATGCGCTACCAAAAACATTACAAGTATGTTAATGTTTTAGCTAAAGTTATATGTAGTTGGATATTATAAAGGTTTTTTTAGTAACGTAACAAAAAATTAATAGAGAAGTTGTTTGTTTATTTATTAGTAAAATTTCAATTGCTATATTTAATATATAGACTTTTTATTTTATTGTGGGGCTAAATAAATTTATAGTGAAATCAAGTTTAAAATTCGACATCTATTCTCACAGGATACTCTTTCTTGAACTGTCAGCTGTCAAAATGTCAACTTTATTGTCAAGTTGTCACCTTCAGAGTGAGTGATTGACTTGAAGTTTTCAAGCTTTATGTTGTTTTTATTTAATACATAATTCCATTTTTACTTTACCTACCGTTACGGTTGCTTTACTACTTCTTCGTATATTAATAGTACTAAAATATTCAGTGTATAATATTCCATAATATCTTTTGAGTGACTCCGTTTGCCACTTTGCTTCCTTTGCACATATGGTGTGGTTTACGTTCATAAAATATTTTAAGACGGTTTATATGAATACGTAAAAATATTTCGTTATAATAGAAGATGTTGTCAAACAAACGTTTAGTGGCTACGTGTGCCATTGCATTTAGTTGCAATGTGGCATTATTGGTCCTGTTCGTGAAGTACAATGCTGGAGATAAGTGTTTTGTTACAATCGACGAGAACCAAAAGGTAATAGCAATTATGCCGGATGATTTCCTTAGCATTGGTATTGACACTTCAGAAGTGGAAGACTATGATACTATAGATTTCAAGAATACAAGATTTCGAGATCTAGCCGCGGCGTTGGCGCCAGCCCGTTTGCGCCTAGGTGGCACTATGTCCGAACGCCTAATATTCAGCCAAAAAGATATTGCAGCAACATGCCACCACTTCCACTGTCCCAAAGATCAGAAATCTGTTTGTTCAGCTGTAAAGAAAATGTGTAGGCACAAATTTTTACCATTCTTCATTTTAACTGGAAACAAATGGGATGAAATAAATGAATTTTGTAAAGCTGTTAACTTAAAATTACTATTCAGCTTCAATGCTCTAATTCGCGATGAGCATGGATGGAGTGATGTCAATGCTAAAGAACTGCTACAGTATTCTAAAAATAAAAAATACAATTTAGACTGGCAGCTGGGTAATGAACCAAATTCGTACCATCATGTATTCAATATTACTGTTACTCCTCATGTGTTGGCTCATGATTTTAAAAAGCTACGTGGGCTATTAAATCATTTTGGATACAATAAATCATTGCTTGTTGGTCCAGACACAACTCAACCCAGACCGGAACAACCCCAGTGCCTCAAGTACATGGTTGAGTTTTTAGGAAATGGATCTCACAATATTAATGTACGATCCTGGCATCATTATTATTTGAATAGTAGAACTGTTGTATTGGAAGACTTTTGGAACCCAGACACTTTTGACTTGTTGAAGGAACGCATTAACACAATGAAGTTGGCCACAAAAAAATATGCTAACATCCCAATGTGGCTGAGTGAGACCAGTAGTTCATATGGTGGTGGAGCTCCAGGATTATCCAACTCATATGCGGCCAGTCCTCTATGGGTAGATAAATTAGCTCTTTCTGCACAAAACAACATCACAACCGTTATACGACAGAGCTTTTTTGGTGGGAATTACAGTTTAATTGACAAAGATTTGGAACCACTTCCAGACTGGTGGGTAAGTGTAATATACAAAAAGCTGGTGGGAAACAAGGTGTTACATGTAGATTGTCAGTGTTCACGCTTCCAAAGAATGTACGCTCACTGCACCAACAGAAACTACACAGACGATCTGACAGCAATAACTATTTATGCTGTAAATTTAGAAATGGCCACAGCCAGATTCCTTGTTAATGGCTCTGCTTTGCATGGAGATAATTTATATATAGATGAGTATATTCTAAGTGCACCATCTAATAATAGAAGGACAAAGACCTTACTACTGAATGGTTGGCCTTTGTATTATGATTCATCATTACCAGATTTGCAGCCTCGCAAAATAAGATTTGGGAAGCATATTTCAATGCCACCATATTCAATTGGCTTCTGGGTCATCCATAACACATCAATTAAGGTATGCAAGTGATCAATTCTTATTGCTGTAACAGACTACAAATTTATAATTCATTGACTGATGTTGACTTGATTGACTGACTATTAAGTTCTTTAAATAGCATTTTCTGTTCTTTTAAACATTCCAGTGAGTGATACAGTGTATTAGTTTATACATTTTTTTTATTTAATGTAATTACTTTATTTTCTATTAAGAGACATATTAAGAGATTTTACATTAGAAAAGATCCATTGAATATTTCATATAAGTGCAAGCAAAAACTCTAGTGATCATAAAGTGAAGAAAATTTATATTTCAGTATACTTGTATAACATTGTTTAATTCTTCATTACTTATGTTATACATATTTACATTATAACTTCATTATTAATCATTACAAATATTTACCTATGCTTTCTTAATCAAATGTCAATTAGAGCTGCAGCAACTGAGAAGCTATTTCTTCACAGGTTAGAAATGAGACTGGCGAAATTATAGTATTTATTAAATAATAATATCTAGACAATAATTGCTCTAAATACTAACTATGACTATGAAAATGTGTCCATTGTTATGATTTATTTTATTATTGTAATGTCCTTGTTTACTTTATTGGATCTGAATAATATCTGTACTCAATTTCTCTGCTATAATCTTCTATAATTAAAGGTGCAAACACCTAAAGTGCTTTAAAAACAAAAATATCTATCAAATAGAATCTCCTTAAAGTTTTCTATTACATCAAAATATTATTTAAAACGTTTTGTGCCATTTCTGTTATTTTAAAATTATACTTAATATAAGTAATTTATTTATAAATATAAATAAGATATCAGGTTAATATTATGAAAAAGTATTGGTCAGAATGTAACATATAATCCAATATGTAGTAATAGTATTGATAAACCAAACATTTATATGTACTTAGTAAGCAAGACTTTTAGGTGAAAAGTAAATGACATTTTGTTTTCAACTAATGAATTTTAAATTCAAAGATATAATTATCACTTTGCTGCATAGATATTATTCACTATACTTTCATCTAATATTGAATGAAGTTGCCTGTACCTAAGTTAAATGTGTTCTATGAAGTTTATCCAGGTTTATAGGTACTATTGCTGAATATTGTTTAGCACTATCTTTTATTACATACTTATATACTAGGTATTAGGTACAATTATGTTAATGTAACATTTTAAGTGTAATATTGTAATTCCTTGATGTGTCACACTCCCTTATCATGTCAGAGTAACCTTGTTAATATGTCAAGGAGAAAGATCTCTATACAACATTGATCTATTGACATTGTTTGATATCAAGAGTAGTAAGTTGTGAATGTGTATTGTAAAATGGAGCTACAATCTATCCACAACTACATGGCTACTATAAATTCTATTTTCCCCACCCGCCTGACTTCATGGAAGGAATTATAGTAAGATCTCGTATATTTTAAAATAATTATTCAAAATGCATCCCATTTATTTACTTTTAATGTATATTTTAAATGTGAAAGAATGATTAAAATGGATTCCTTTTTTTAAATTTATCCACAAGGAACAAACAATAAAAATTTTCCTATTTATTTTAATCTATATTTTGGAATAATAGTTGTATGCTATACAAAAGTAAATGTGGTTCATATATGTTCAATGAGTAACTTAAGTTTTTAAAATGCCTGTTAAATAATTTAAAGTAATATGGTTGTATTTTTACCATTTACTGCTAGTTTGGTATCTTAAAATTCCGTACATACCTATATGGTAGCTAAAACTTTCATTAAGTGTATGTTATTTATAAATGTTGTAATTAGCCGTATTGTTACATATGAGGTGTTCACATTTATACCTAAGTTGTAATATTGACGTAGCTTATATAATATACATATATATATATATGTACTTATACATTAACATTTACAGGCAGATGTCAAAATATTTACATATATGTATTTTAATATTCTATTTTCGAAATTATAAATAGATTCGAGTTTAATACTTTTTTTTTGTATATGTATCGTTGGGTACTATTCAAGAATGTAAAGAAATGTGTTATATATCACATCGTTTTCTCTTTACTGGCGTGATTTAAACATTTATGGACACAACATAGATAAAATTATTATGGAGTGTATCTAGGGTTATTTATAGTGAGTGTAGAAAGCCGAAAGCTAGGATTCACGATTCACTTCTGCGGGTAACAAGTGGTAAATAGTAGTTATTAAAGCATTCGTACAATATGCCTGGTAATTTGATATGGTAAATTTAATTAATTTAGTATTTGTAAAGACCAAATTATTGTCAGTTTATACTGACCTATCTTAAAACTTGTTGTTGAAAGTGGTATATTCTAATTTTCGGCTTTGTATTCCAGTGAAGCTAAAGCCAATCGACAGCCAGCAGAATTAGAATAGTTTGGAAAAACCCTTTACGTCTAAACTTGTATTATATTATATTTTTTTATGAATGAGACCAGAATTTGCCATATAAATATTTAACAGAATATTCTAATGTGTTTAAATTTTTAATGAATCTTATGAGTGTGACAAATAATGGAGTTGTGGTTATTGTTAGAATTGCCTCTCGCACCTTTATAATAGTATACAAAATTTTATTAAATCTATGTGCCTACGCCTAATTACCTTAATATGTAAGAAATTATTAATAATTTCCTAATTACTACAACTTGTCTCCTTATTGCCATATTATTTATTAGTGTTTAAACTGACCTCCACGAAGACGAGATTTTTAATCCAATACACAATATTATACTGATTTTTAACACAAATTTAAATTCTGATTAAACCGAAAAAAAAATCTCTCATGGACTAAGATAAAATGTGAGTAACGGCACAACACATCATCATTGGATTACAATTATGAATTATTAAACCAACAGGAGTGTTGAATGTGATGATAGACGGTGTCTTATGACTTATGAATATAGATAGAATTTGCTTTACATTTTATCTTATATTCTATAGTATTAAAAATAATCTTACTTACATATAGATACTGTTCGTATTAATATTTGTAACTTTTATAGGTATATTTGTCGCTGATTTATGTCTTAATTGTTCTTGTCGCTAAAATTTCGAATAAATATTGTATTGTTGTATTCGTAAGTTGTAACTAAGTACTAATATAAAAAATGCTATTGCATAATATTTTTGTAATGACTAAATGTACGGTAGTCAGTTGTTGTTGATTGTTCGCTATCGCTAACTTTTCTCCTAAATTAAATAGATTATTCATAACTTTAACTTCAAAGTGTACTGTTGAGTATAAAAATGAGTATTGAACATTTCACAAAATATTATTTGAATCATAGTAATCAGTATAGTAAAGCAGTTTGTAAAGTTGGTAATATTTGTAAAATAACGTAGTGACATCATTGATTGTTTCAACAGCTAGGCATGCCTCAAGTATAGTTCAAAGTGACACGAAACAGTCACACGAGTAATTAATTTTAATGACGAGTAAACCAGCAGCTAAGGAACAAAACCTGCTACCTATTTTTTAAATTGCTAACATGGCTTACAGACGTGTATAATGTAATGATCTTATATATTAACACACACATTGGAGTATGTGAAGATGTATCGTTACATTGCATGAACTATTCTCGTATAACTCAATATACTATAGGAATTATGCTCTATACAATCATAGACAGTATGCAGAAAAATACTCATAAATATATTTTTTATTATATAAACGTGATTAGTGAGCGATTACCAATTAATGTTGCTGCCTCTACAGATGGATTTAGAAATTGAAAACTGAATTGCTACCTATGTTGTTTTAACATTTCAGAGTAACACATATGCAGTGTTATGTCGCTATTAAAAAATCATCATTGAGCATTTAAGATGTAATTAATCATCCAGATTTAACAATGATTGCTGATTATGAAAATGTAACATTGTTGTAGTGGAACATAGATGTATGTAATGTCTTTGTTTAATTACATAAGCATGATCTGCATCGTCCTTGGCTTCTACCGTTGTACGTGACATAGTATTAGTGAGGAATTATACTCGTGTACATTCTTACATTGCATCTATCATGTTTACTGTTAATATTCATTATGTATGTCAAAATATCATCAATATTCTCTCCGTGCCACATTCTTATAGGGTATTTTCAACTGATTAGTTACATAATACGGGTATTTGGCGAAATCTACTTTGTAAAGAATTACAGTTCAATTTGTTTATGCAATCAAAAATGTTAAACGGCCACGTTTATTTTCTATACATAAGTAAACATCAAAAGGTTGTACTTAAAAACATTTATGTTATAATCATCTTGACATTTAGAAATTTGTTGGCAGAATCATTTTTCTTCAGAATGTTAGGTACTATGTAATGTTGTAAATACAATTAAATCTATATATTAAAATTTTAAATAACACATATTTTGAAATATAATAATAATATTGTTGTGAATTTGCGGTGCCTATGGTAAGACTGATTAGAAATTACAATATTTATTTCCCATATGTGCCTATGAATGCAGTTTTGTGAAATTTTCTTTTTACTCGCATTAGGTGTGTGAGATAATTTAGATATATTTCTAATAATATTATTAATTTTTCTATTTTTTATATGATTACCTACTTTGTTTATTCTTTCGTTGGGTAGTTATACCACCGAGTTGTACGTGTATTTGCATTATTATAAATAAACATAGAGAGGCTAAAAATAACGCACATTTCTCATAAAACTAATATCTCGAAAAACAGTTATAATTTTCATAATAGACAAAATACTTTATAAAAATGGTTGTTAAATTTGCGAGACTGACATTAATTTGATATATAATATAGGTAACACACTGCATTTATTACATTTTTTAATTACTTATCTAATTTCACTTGTGATATACACATTTCATATGTTTGGTAATTATATTATTGTGCTGTTTTTAACTATTTTATTTATTTATTATTATTTTATTTTAATTATCGGAAGAGAACGGATGATCATATATTGGAACTCTTTTTTTATAACCGTATGCAATATACAAACCGATGAAAGTAATTTTAATAATTGTTAAAATTGTTTATTTTTATAAAAATCTTAAATGTTAGTTCTATCAAGTTTAAATCAGATGTAAAAGTTATGATCTCTGCATAACATAATAATAATTAATTCTCAATGTCATTACGATGCACGACATCTTATACTTTATGACATATATATGATATGATTTTAATGTACTACAACTTTTTAAGAACTTTTTAACAAAGAATATTTATTAAAGAAAAACAGACTATAATTCTGTGCATATGGATGCATACATATGTGTCCTGATTTATTGTGTAAATGTTTGATTCGGAGTTATTTGTACCGGCTGTTTATTGGGGACCCAGTATTGTGTACGAATAATAGGTAGTGATATAGTTAATATATGTATTAAACCTTCTTTAAGTACAGTCAGTTAAATGTAAATCCTAACATTCAACATTGTGTACAGACGCCTAGACGTCACAATGTGTACTCTTAAAAATATATGATTAATATCTATTACTAGGTATGACAAATTAAATTATTATTTTTAAAATGAGTTTGGTCTTTAAAATATGAATTCATTTTATCTGAAACGAGTTTGGTGGAATTTAAGTTAAATCAAGTAACGCAAATCTTTGCTACTACTGTACATACTCAGTAATCTAATATTTGGCTGACTGTACCTACTTCACTTACCTACTTACTTTTTTTGTATAGCTACTCGCGACAAGTACCTATTTCAATTGATTTCGTAGTCATTAATAATGCAAGTACATTCAAACTGAGTGGTTTTATTGAAGCCTATCTATTTATAAATTGATGTTTAATAGTTACGCAATGCTACTTGTGAGGCTACATTAAAGTAACTATGTTGTTGCATTTTATATATTAATATACTAATAATAATGTAATTTTTTGCTATCTGTACATGGATCATATGTGAGCGAAACTATTATTGGACTTATACTCAATTAACGGAATAGAACCCAGAATTATTATTGTTTAAATTGTTGTCAGTACCTATGTGCTTTTTTTACCCATTTAACTGTTTTATGTGCTGTTCGCACTAATATTTAGTATGATATTGTATAAGTTTTATTTTAAAATATTTGCTAGTTTTATTTAAATCCGTTAATAAAAAATTATAAATTATACGTGCGTGAATTCGCGGCCTCTGCTAGTATGTATATAAATGTGGCATAATCTGCCTATCGTAACAAAAAGTATGTCGAATGTTATATTAATATTATCTTTGCTACTTTTATACACTTTAAATATATTTATTAATGTTATCTTGCCACATAATTCTAGGTGTCAAATAATTTATATAACGTTAAAGTATATATATATGTAATATGTAAAGAATACTATAGTTAACAAAGGAATATTGCTATGGATTTCATATGTCGCGGCCAGATGATATGAAGTAGTTCTTAAAATTTCGCCGCAGTTCTAAATTATTTTTCAATTTTAAGGCACCGATATTGGTGAATTTTGTATGATTTGAATATGACATATTTCATCTTAAGTTGTGTACAATGTCTAATAATCTTATTTTATCGATATTTCGCAGGCTTATTGATATATTCAACAAAATAATACAATCTATCATGAACAACCACAATTTTATAAAATAGTTTATTTTATAAGAGGCAGTGGAATGCCTTACCTGGCTAACGGTATATACTCGTCCGTTAGTGAAAGATATTTCGAATGATAAAAGTAGGAATGTCTGGCCACTTCATAAGTGATCAATTGTGTAATCTGAAAGCGACATATAGAGTATCATTCTAAATGAAAATATTACTAAATCATTTTAAATTCTTTACAAATTGCTAAAATATAGATGTATAAACATTTATGTAACTATATATTAAATATATTGCCTTTATATTAAAATGTCCATGTAACTGGTATAAAATAAAACATTATTTACTGTGTCATTTGCTTGTTTTTATTTTTTCCATGTTACTTCCTAGTATGACTACTTTTATTGTGTGATAATAACTGAAATCATTGAATTTACCTAATGTCATTAGACAATGGTACTTAACCGTAAACGTAATAATCATAAAGCTGAGAGACTATAGCAATAAACATTTGAAAATGTTTGCTCACTTGCCAATGAAGTGCACGGAACGCTTTGTGTACTTATAAATAAAAATAATTAGTAATTACTTTAAATATTTATTTTAATAACAACAAGGTAAGTTTTAAATTATTAAATTATATACAGCCATTCAATACTTTAGCATTATATTTGAGACATACATTTTAACAATCAATATCTTAATCTCCTAACCTAAAGGTAGTCTGGAAAATTTCTTAAGCAAAGAGATCGCCTTATGTACCTTCTTGACTATAAATTAAGATCAAATTATTACATTTTTGGTACAATAAAGGAGCAATTAACAAATAAATCTTAGATTAAGTAAATAATTTTAACAAATAATAACAATATATAATATAATATTGCACAGTAAACACGACAATTAAAGGTAACGTCACATTACCGAAACTTGCCGAAATTTCTACACCTTATAACAACTATATGCCGCTATCATTGGTGTATGGTGACCACAAGAACAGATTTAAATAACCATATCATCCGATATACTATTTCCAAAGACTTAAAAGATCAAACGACTATAATAACAACCGTAATCATTTTCATTTGTCTCAAGTAATTAATTAGTACAATTAACAAAATTTGAAAGTAATAATCGATACAAAACGGTATATAAATCAGAGAGAGCAGTGAGTCCACCCTCTCTGCTATTCTGTTATAGCCTTTATTATAAATTAATACAATAAAAGATCAACGACGACGATAGCACTGAAGTTCGAAACTGTACTGTGTCCTGTCTAATTTTTATGTTTACGTGTTAGTAACAAAGTAAACATAAAAATTAGATAATAATTTAATAAAATTAGAAAATAATGTGTTCTAGTATCAATCTTAGCGTGATAATAGTCCACAGTACAATGAAAGCTTTGAATACATCGCGGCATTGGCAAGATTTGCTTTCTCTTTAATATTGTCAGTTAGAGGACCATCCTGAAATTGTATTATAATCATGACAAATTTCGTTCTTTTACCATAACTGCAAGCTATTCCTTAACTTTCTAAGAATTCTTCATTTTATCCCGCTATTATTTTTAAACAGTAGGAGGACAAACAGGAATCTAGGTACTATGAAGTATATATTTAGTATAGATTCTACAAATGTTTTACATCATTAGTTATTTACTGCGAGAATTAGAGAGAGAGAACTAAGCAGAGATCTGAGATAAAAGACAGGTACCTCAAAGTTTAAATGTATAACTACTAAACTAATCCTTAATACTGTTAGGTATATATTATACTCCCTTCTTCACTAACATCTAGGGTTGCCACGAATATTCGGCTATTCTCTATTCAGCCGATTCGACAACTTTTTTAACATTCGGGAAAATTCTTTAATAAAATATTCTTGTTGCAACTGTGATCTGCGTTTCAAGCTAAGAGATACATTGGTTCAAATTTCGTTGTGATTTGTTGAAACACTTTGTTTAGTTAGTAAATATTGCAAAATGTTATAAGAATGAAATTATAAGTAAAATTTTTAAGTCTAGTGAATTCGATTAATGTATTCGTTGAAAAAATATGCCACCCGCAAAATTTACTTTTTATTCATCTACCAAAATATTGGGTGAAATTTAGTCTCGGACATTCAGCGTTTCGACCGAGAGCTTAAACGAATATTAGGTATTTGACAAAATCATTATTCGTGGCATCTCTACTAACAATACCAATAACACTCATTACACACTGTAATACTATTTTTAACACTTTTTAGTTATAGTTTTTATGTACGAACCTAATATTAAAATTTAGCAAAAGATAATTAGGCACAGTATGTAATTTAGAACCATGAATGACCACTATTACTTTATATAAATAAAATCTTAAGTTTTATCTTAAGTATTGTTTACATTACTCATTTAACATGCACAAAATTTTAATTTTCTCAGTTGATTTTCGACAAATGGGCTGCAAAATAGTGAGTCGTTCGGAAGTTTTATTACTTCTTTATAAAATACAATTTAATCTTCGATCGATTCCCAATTTTATGTTACTACAGATGATGTCATATTTGTTTTTAGATTTAATTTGTGAGATTTAGGAGAGTAATGTTAGTAGATTTTTTCAATTTCAATTTAATATTGTATTAAACGTTGATGGATATAAAGGTAATAAACATACTAAAATTAGATAGATTTGAATGGTGATAAATGAAAGAAAGGTAATAGGCATAATAGTAAAGCTCAGATAAAGAGGAAGTAGATTAAAGAACGAGGTTATTATCTAGTATCGATTGAATATGGATCAAAAATTAATCTTCAAAGTGAACTAGCGTAGTATTTTCTATGTATATAGTGTCAGTTTTCTTAATTTCCGCTGGGGGAAGACAGAATGGCGGTGGATGTGACCAGAAACCGTTTTCGGTGCAGACTATGGACGATTCCCCCACAACCTCATAGCCGTCATCACAGGAGTATATCATCAGATCACCCACCGGATATTTGCCGTGCTTCGCTGACGCTTCCGTTAACAGTTTCCCCTTTTCGGGAACCAGTGGGTCTGGGCAATAGATGGCTGGAAATAAAAAATGAATATAAATTATATTACTATAATTTCACGGCCGGTTTCCCAAATAGGGTGGCCAGAGGCATCTCATTTGTCGACGTAATGATGAACGCAAACATGACATGCTTTCATTCGTTGGGTATATTTAAAGCAAAGGTCCAGAGGACAAGCCTAACATTGATATAAAAATTAATACTATAACATTTCAAAATAAATATTTTGTATATATGTACAGTTGACAAGATGATAATTTTAATCTTAGTAAGCCATCGGGGGAAGGGGATAGTTAGTAATGTGGGCTAACCTCATTGCTAACAATCTACCATGTTAGGATGACCACGCGGTTTCCCCTGGAAACCATCGTGATAAATTCCTGGTATGTACCATGATGACCTTACCTCATGCTGATCCTATCATCCACCACTGATTAGTCCATCAAATAAAAAGAAATCGGTAAGCTATCATGTGAGCCGTCTAGGTACTTATAGCAACTGTCATCATGTCATGTCGTACACACGAATTATAATAATAAAATAATTTTATGAATTTATATAAAAAATACATTGAAATAAAGGCGGCATATGGACCCGGTTACGAGATTGGCGACAAGATGCTATTGTGCGACGCTGTTATTCGGACCCTTTACAACCAAATTTGTACAAAATATAAGACAATATTTCAAAGGTCGTATAAAACACTTCCTTTGTAAAAAAAAGCATATAAAACTGGATAGTTCGTTGATGATAATAATGTGTTTATAGAAATACATTAATTATAATAATACATTATATAGTGTTAACATTCATAGCGCGGATCATTATATGATTGCACTAAGAATAAGTGTGTAGCGGTTTCTATGCTGATTAACGCTTGCCTCTTATTTGTTATTGTGTCATTATTGATATAAAGAAAATATCTATTCAAAAGAACAACACGCAAATTTCTTGCTCATTCTTCTTTTGAATGAATTGTAGAATAAAAATTATGACTATTCAATAGTGCTCGTATTGAGTTTATTTGAATAAAAATAATTTCTATTTCTAATAAACATACTCACGCATGCAAAGTGGAGTATCCCCAGACCATTTCCCATCGAGCTCGCATTCGAGGCCGGGCGTACCGATCAGCCTATAGCCCCAGGCGCATTGGAATACAGCGCGACCTCCGTACGAAGAGTTATATTCCACCACGCTCAGGTGAGGTCCCAGGGTGTTCAGCATTGGACAGAAGGTTTCCTCGCACGTGGGCGGCAGGGAGGACCAGCGACCTGAAATACATTTACTTACAAACAAAAATATAGTGCCTTTGGTGTTTCAGCAGTTTAGTATACCGCATGCTTCCAATGATGGCGGGTTCGATATTAGCAGGATACAAATGAGGGAATTGAGTATGAGGGTTTGTATTAGTTGGTGGTTGTTATATCAACGGGAAAGGAACAGCGTGCATCACAGTTTTATAGTCGAGTTTATTTCAAATTAAGTGTGATGAAAAACGTCGTATGATATATACGTATCGTAGGTATATTGATTATTTTATGAATAATTTATTCATTCAATTCATAAAATTAGGTGGCATATTAAAAATATACTCAAGATTAAATTCATCGATTTAAGAAAGAAAAGCAAGATTTAAATTATTATACCCACCGTATATTTCGCAGCTGTCTTTAGTTCAGATGAATAACATACTCAGTGAAAATTTAATTAAATATACAGTTTTAGTATTGTCATGGTTTTGTGATTTTGTTATATTTACGGATTAGCGAGTCGGATCTGGGTGGCCACTTAATAAAAATTGTTAAATATGGTACACGAGCAACAAAGATGCATGATGTCATGTCAGTTAGCCCATTGTGGCATCAAGAGGGATCCTACACGATGATGATTTCCTGTATTTACTGCAATAGAGACCAATTGGAGACTTTACTAATTATCTCCACCCTCTCTTACATGAGTACCATTATTAAATTTCTAGTGGCTGACACGCTCACCATTGCCCATGCAGGTTAGAATCGAAGATCCATTGAGGTGGAACCCTGGTTGACAGCTGAAGTGAATGGAGTGGCCCAGGCGTGTACCTTGCGCGAATTGACGCACTCTAGCTGAAGATATATTTATTTGAGGACACGCCACATCTGAAAGTTAATTATTTCACTCACTATATTAGTGGTTTCTTTTTACTCGTACTTTACAGAAACACGCGATTATTCTAATTTTAAGTTAATTAATGTACATTTTTCCCCAAGATGATGGCAACACAATTATTTGCTAATCGTCTAATGAGACTGATCTCAATCTTTGATTCTACACAAAATGTGAGTAGAATAGCAAACTAGTTGACAGCACACCTGATGGTAAGTGGCAACCGTCGTTAAAATACCTCCCTTTACACGGCACACAACTTAACGCGGGAACAGGAGCGCGTTATTTTCCAATGACACGTTTAAGATTTATAAATAAGTATATAATTATACCTTTAGCCCGTAGACAGATACCCATATGTTGCCAAATAAATTAATTACTATACAAAAAGGCGCTAAAGTAAGCACGATTTGTATACATTTAAATGCAGATTCTTTCCTGCGTGATAGCCTATTCGCGAGAGAAAGCGCGTACATATAAAGGAAGGTTATATGTTGCCATTCTGGAGAACTGAGATGCTACACCCCCATACTCTATAATTTGCTGCTATATCTCACCCTCCAACCCAAACAGCTTATAAAGCGAGCCGCTGAAATAGGTGAAGCAGAGATACCCACGCAGACGAATTAGTGTACATCGGTAAACTTAAACTAAGATTGCAATTTAAACATTTGCAACTTTTGCAGTACTATCATGTGGTAATGGATAACTTATAAATACTACAACAGTACTTAAAACTCACTAACAACTTTAATAAGAACAGTGTTTGTGTGACCGCCTGGCGAGGTGCAAGTGTACTGATCGCTATGTCTTGCTGACATTTTGGTTAGTGTCAACCGATAATGCGTCTCTTTCTCGCCTTCGTCTGGAGACCACGCTAGACAGAAAAAAATATTATTAGCGTAACACCAACTCTGTAAGAAATTCTTTGAATCATAATATATTAATTTAAAAAATATATTTATCCTAGTGAATTGGACCGCAAGTCAGGGACCTTAAGGGTCGAACGCTGAAATGGTATGTCTTGTATTACGACGTACTCCTAAACGCATTAGAAAAACCCAACATATAACTATTGTATAATTCAAGTGGTGTATGTATAGTATACATATATGTATATTTATACAAATTCATTAATTATTAACTGTGAACACGTTATTTTTACTTAAGTTTATATTATCGATTTGTGTTATGTGGCCATATCGAATTTCAGATTATTATTCTGTTGTTATTTGTGAAGGCCTGTCGGTGTATATATAGAATACTATATATACACCGACAGGGCAATAGCCCTGGTTTTCCAATAATAAAGAAATTAGGTACATAAATAATTATCTGCCCTTGTTAAAGGGTATAAGGTACATTTAAAAGCGCATCATACAAGTTTCTTGCTGGTTCTTCTTGTGATGAGACAGCTTCCCGAATGAGCGGTAGATTAAAGAAATGTGATGACTACTCAAAAGTGCTTAAATTATGTTTATTTGAATAAAGGATTTCTATTCTATATTCTATTTAGTTGGCATACCAGCATTGTGTTGGCCGAGCGCCTGCGTCCAACTCCAGTCAGGATCACCCAATGTACGGAGCGAGACACAGTCGAGACGCACAGAACTGTCCGGGTATACAAACAATTCTCCGGACGGCTCCACAACCGCTGATCCACTAACCACTGTGTATTGTATAGTGGGAGGCGCATCGCCTGTATCGACCAGAAGATAGATTAGATTATTTAATTACCAGTACTAGCTCCCCTATCTGGGAAGTAAGTGATCATTACTAACGCCCAATTTACACTCAGCCCGAGTGGGCAGGGAAGTGAATGCGGAAGTGAGAGAGTGTGAACCCGATACTTCCCATGCCATTGGCGCTCCCTCGATTGTCAGTTTTTCGTGCACGAGTCAAAGGACAGGCAGCGCGAGTGGCAGTTTGTGTTTACATTCAGCCCTTTCGCTCAGTTGTCGCCCGGCGTTTTAAGCGAAATGTAAGAAGAGTCGCCCGGTAAATATGTATGAGGGCTGAGTGTAAACGACACTCACTCGCGTCGACTCCCGACGCTGACGCGGCATTATTTCCGGCAGCGCGAGTTGCAGGGGAAGCGGCTGAATGTTACATAACATTAACGTAACGTAACATTGTAAAATTTTAAATCACTAATAACAGAAGTAATTTAAATTTAATCTAGCACAAATATACAATTCTACAAAAAAACTAATTGAAAGAAAAATTTTGCAATCTCCGCCCACACCGTGGGCCTAACCTAACCTAACCTAACCACTCTACAGCACACATAGTATCATTATACTAATAAAGAATATAACACTTAAATTCAGTTAATCCCACTGGCTAACTGAATTTAACTGTGGTACACACAGCCAGTCATTATATGAAGAGGCAAAGAAAATAATGATTAAATTAAAAAAACATTTTTAAGAAAATTGTTACTGGTAACTGGTATTAAGCGTTCACTATGCTGCCAGCATTCTGAGCATAGGCAGCATCACTCAATTAATCTGGATAGTAAGAACTGTTGAAAATTAAGATTTATAGTAATATGTTTTGTATTACATGAAAGTTATAAAAATAATACTTGGAATACCTGTAAAATTGGTAATGACAGTTGTAGGCACGCATTCTGGTATTTTTGGTGTCCATTCTCCATTTTCGCACCGCAACAAACTCTCACCTTTCAGCTTGTATAGCCCATAATGTTTACATCTGGCCACAATTACTGAACCATGAGGGAATGGAGTATTTTTCTGGAAAGTTATATTACATAATGCTTAACTATCTTTTATAGTACAAACTTTCCTTTTTCTTTTTTCAAGTACCTTTGGATTTGAAGAAAAGTTGGTACATTTTGTGTTACATTGGAATAAATTAATAATTGAACTTATTGTGGCACATTTTTTATTTGAAAGCTTTTTTACCACAAAACGCTAAATTTGTCGACGACTGGTAGAAAAGGTCGTAACGCTGCCAAAAGCGTTGCCCAAGTTTAGGCACCGAATATTTGTGGTCTCACACATAGTAATGGTATCTGTGGTCCCATTTGTATTTTATCAAGAACTTACCTGTAGTTCTTGTGTTATCACTATAATAATGTGAATGAAGTCTTTATTCATAATTTGTTAATGTATAATCATCAAAATATCTTTATTCATGCAGGTCTATTACAGACTCTTATAATATGTAAAATCTGCATCCCTGAAGTGCTTTTAATAGTAACTGAAGTAAGATTAATCATCGTAATCTTGAGTTAGATTGTTTGTTTTGGTCTAGGTTTTCTACGCACATTATGTAAGTATTTACAAAAGTATAGGTACTTAGAAAATATTGAAGTACTTATATCTATCAGTTATTTAGTATCCAACATATAAGCTCTGCTTTGTTTGTAAGTGTCCTAGGTCATTATTGGAGACCTATATAAACAAACTTTCAATATCTCCATTTTCATGATACTTTTTATTGTTGTTGTTTAAACTTTTTTATGTGTTATTATTGCATGCTCTTTAAATATGTTATATTGTATGTTAATAAAATAAAAACACTTACATCAATAGATGAATTTTTGAAGGAAATCGCCAAACGAGGATGATCATTTGTATAAAGACATTCTCTCAAAATAGGCTGGAATCTGCCATCTGTAATTAGAATATTATAGCAAGTATTTAAAAATATTCCAAGTAAAATTTTGAATAAAATACATACATTATAATATTCAAAGGTATAGAAGAAATATAATGTAAGATTGTTTTAACCTGGTGTACTGGAACAGAGTGGGCCAACCCAGTTTCCATCTATACACTTGATCTTACATATCAGCCTCTCGTTCAATGGACCAATGAGTCCAGGAAATTTCACCTGGAATTTAAAAAAATCTCCATTCAGATAATCATGTACAAGAACTAAAATACTTAAGGGACAACACAATTTTGTCATGTATTACTTAATTTACTTAATTACAGTTTTATGGTCCACAGGGAATTCCAAATTGTTGTCACAGAAAACTAAAAAATATAGTTAATAATATACATAGGTACACATTGTGATATTACTAAACCAATAGAGGGCCAAAGAGATTAATATCATAGCAATGAGGACTATTAGTCTATTAACCATTTTGTAGATACATTCCTTTATCTAAAAACCTGTTCCACCATAGTTTATTGTATTGATTAAATTCATGTTTCAGTAAATTATGTAACTAATGTTAGTTTCTTCCTGTGCTGCCTCTTAAACTGGTGACCCCTGGTTTGGGAGTTTAGTTGAAGATTGATAGTATTTTGTCACTCTACTGTTGCAATACACAAGACAGGTTTAACAACAACAACACTTGTAATGTTAAATTAAAACATAATTTATTCATGTAGACCATGTCAGTCATTTACACAAGTTTAGATTTGTTATCATTAACTTTCTTCCCTCCCATGTATCTATATAGCATCATTTTTATTATTTACGAAAATATTATAAAAATGATCTTGTTTTTAAATATATAGTAATAGCTGATATTTTTTATAAAATAAAAGTAAGCCTAAGTTACACCTTTTTACATCAGCTACCTGCTAAAAACAGTCCCGTCAAAATTGGTCCAGCCATTTCCAGTCCAGTCAAACAGACTCACAGATAGACAAAAATTGTAAAAAATGTTATATTGGTGTTTGTACTGTATCTAAATTATATTTATATGCATGTAGTAAGAAATGGTTATTACAATATTACAAACAGACACTATAATTTTATTTATATGTATAGATGTACAGATTATGAAGATGGAGATATAGAGTAACATGATGCATACCTCTGATATCTTGGAGAAATCTGATCTAAACCTTGTTATGTCTAAGTTAATGTCGACACTGGTGACATCAGGCAAGGAACATTTGAAGTCATCTGTAACAGATTTATATTAAGCATAAATAATAAACTGAATATATTTTTGTAATCCTCTCCCTGCCTACTTCATAAGTGATTGGTGTGAAGATATACATAGAATATCTTAATTGTAAAATGCTATTATTATGATACTTAATTGTAATGTATAATTCATTTTTAGTTAGTGACAGAACCATATTGCGCCAGTAAGTACAAAACTTTAACTTATATAAATATATTTACTCCTATATAATAAAGATACATAGCACAGATACATTAAGCAAATGAAAGACAATTAGAGTTATGTTGTATCAATATATAAAGAGGATGATGGAAGGTCATGGAAAGTGGCAAGGCTCTTGAATTATGAAACAATGCAGGGGCGGATCTACCTAAAGGCTTTTTGGGCTGCAGCCCAGTCCCCACAGAAATGATATTTAGAATATAAAAAAATATCTAGAATGTTAAAAAACCTATAATAAGGTTGGCAAACCTAAGATCAATCAACCCATGCATGCGTCTATCGAATGGAATGGATAATTTCTGGTCGCGTGTTTTTGGTAGGGGTATTTTTTCATTTGAGTAATATAATTAGATAGGTTCTTAAGTAGATTTAGCCCATACATACATCCTATCTAATATAGGATGTATGTCTGCATCTACATTCTGGTTTGCAATTAAAGCAAATTTATGTAACCTTGGCATACTTTTGGGGAACAGCATACATATTTCATATGTGTATATGTACCAAATATGTTACATCATATATATCTATACAAATATTTAAGTAGTCAAGAGGAATTCAGGGATGACTGTAACAATTTCTAAAATAAAAAAAAAATTATTGTATTAAAAATATTAATATATGATTGTGTACTAAGTTGAGAAATAAATCTATGTTATGGGTATACTAAATACAATTTAAAATAAATTATAAAGAATAACTGATTATAAGTGTAAATAATAAATAATGTATTTTTAGAAAATAAAAGAAAGAAAGAAAGAAAATTGTTTATTTGGTAAATAGCAATACCGAAAATAATTTTTAAATTTAATTTACATTTTTAGGTAATATATTTAAATATTCATGAATTATCAGGATAATCCTAGCACTATGGTCTAGAGTTAATTATAATACATGTCTTCGGTAGTCTTTAGTAGAGAATATTACCTTCAAGAAATGTAGTGTTTTCTTCATTATCACACGCAATTAATGGAATAATTATTTGGATCATAAATAACACTTTATTTAAAAACATTTCAGTAAATTTACTGCTGATCTTAGCTGATATTTTTTTTATATTATAATGTTTTTTATTTATTTAAGTGCATTTAACATTTTGCATAAATAAATACGCAATGTAATAATTTATGGAGATTAATAAAAAATTACGAAGCAATTTTACATGTAAGATACTTTCTTATCTACGGAAGGTAAATATAATAAGTATAATATAAATTTTAAAAATGAACTGAATCAATTCATTGCAAATTGAATCCTTCAGCAGTGGAAAATGTCAAAATCAATAGAGGTGTTGCTATTAGTTTAATTTACAGCTCTGCCTAAATAGAGACGTTTATGCTCAAAGATTTGTTTACAAATTCCAATTTCGCCATAATTAAAGTAGAAATAAAAATGGTATGTCTTTTATATAACCACGAATTTTAAGTAAACTGAATATTTGAGCAGGTGTATGAATTATTTCGATAAAGCAACACCATTGACATCTTGCTTGAACTTTATCAAATGTCACATTAACCATTTATTCAGTATTTCAGTATTTAGTTTGTGGATTCCAATAGGTTATTGACCGATTCTCACTAATGCCTAAAAAATAAGTTTAAAAAATATTAGGTTTAAAGAGAAGTATCAACACAAAATAGTGCATTATTAATAATTAATACCATATAATCTTTATTGAATAATAAACCAAAATAAATAATGCGAAACGCTGTAGTGATTATTTTTCTATGTTCTATCGCGTTTAATAGAACTATTTGTTCCGAAGATGTACCTGACTACAAATGGCCTACGATTGGAATATCGATACTCGTTCGCAATAAAGGACACACATTACCGTATTTCTTATCGTGTCTTCATAATTTAGATTATCCGAAGGACCGGCTATATCTCTGGTAAGCTCATTATATTTAAGTTTTTTCCACTATGTACTTCTAGAAACTTCTGGTAAATTGGTAGTAAATTTCTAATTTTTCAATCTAATTTAAAAAGAATCGTTTATCTACACTGATTTAGTTTTGTTAAACAATAATAAATGATTATATACTATTTTAATGGATGATAGTGGAATTGTACATCTGCCTGCCCACTGGATATGATGGTTTCCATTGGGAACTGTATGCAGGTTAATCTGCCATAGTACAGTGCTAGCAATTTATACAATGGGTATTAGTCCACATTACTAACAATCCCTTTTCATCCTCTATTGTAACTATTTAAACATGTAAAATTAATAAATGAGGTATGAACAAGACTTTATATTATTTTTTATTACTTGATTATGTAATTTTTATTAAAAATCAATTATTAGAATTTAAATATATTTTGGATAGCATTCACGAAAATAGCCTATTATTTTAAAAGGAAGTTTGTTTAACTAAGTAGCAAATTGTTAACAATAAATTAAATTATAATCCATGTATATACAATTTGCAGTAGGATACATACAATATTATGTGAGTGAAACACCTAGAATAAGTAGTTAGAAATTAAGTAAAATTATAATTAACAACATTCTTATTATAAATTTGTAAACAGGATGTACAGTGATTACAATGAAGATAACAGTCAAAACATCATAGAAAAATGGGCAGAGATGCATGCAAAAGAATACAATGGTGTTTATATAACCACAAATAGTAGTAGCGGACTCCTCCACCCAGACGAAAAGTCTCCGACACACTGGAGTAAGGGCCGGTTCAAACATGTTATACAGTTAAGAGAAGAAAGTCTCGAGTTTGCTAAGAAAATGTGGGCTGACTATCTTTTCGTAAGTATTGATTTTGTAAAACATGCTTTATTTAGTTGTAACAATGGTATTTTTTGGATGGCTCATCTGTCATACTTGTGAGTATGACAGATGAGAATGAGTGCTGCTTGTAGGGACTGGTCTGCTCTTATCACTGGGACTGGTCTGCTCTTATCACTGGGACTGGTCTGCTCTTATCACTACGACTGATTGAATCTTATTGTTTTAGATATTTATATTTGACCCAAAAAATTTGTGCTGCTTGGTAGTTTGTATTCACATGTTTCGACTTGTAAATGTAAACTTACAAGGATTATTTAAAAGACCAACACACAAGTTTCTTTCTCATTCTTCTTTTGATGAGACAGCTTTCCAATGAGTGGTAGATAAAAAAAATTGTTAGACTATTCAAAAGTACTTAAATTAAGAGTATTTGAATAATTAATTTTCTATTCTATTCTATTTTTAATGTCATCCATTGTGATAGTTATTAAATACTTCTATAAGTTATTAAATATATACATTTCTTTAGTTTAGGACTTAGGTTAACAAGGTGATATTTTGATATATGATATATTTTGATATAATTAAAAATAAACCGAGTTATAAATAAACAGTAACTGAAAGTGCTACACTACCAATATTTTCATTGTAAATTTATACCTTGAAGTCAAAATTATAATATTTTACTATTATACTTTACACTTAAAAATACCATTGACAATAAAATCTCATGGCCTGATCCACAGTCCCATTTTTTTCTTATGGATAATAATGAAATGGTTCACTCTGCCTGCACTAACGTTATTTAAAAAAGGTTTGATAAATTCTTTCTGGTAAAATATTTATCCAAGAATACTTCTTAATATAGACATCATAAAATATAATGTATATACAAATATCATCTGAATAGAACAGTCTGACCTGATATATGAAGTTCATTGACATTATAATGGTGTCAAATACACAATGATGTCAGAAGATAAACAATTAGTCGAACTTTGAATATCTCTAGATTTAGGTCATTAAGGAATGTTAATGCATGAAATTTTAATTTTAGCTTCCTACATTTTATTATGACTAGCTTTTTATTGCTGTTTTATCTCTTGGTTGTAGCATGATTTTATACAGACTTCCTGGATAAATAGTTTATCCAACACAAAAATATGTTTTCAATTTATACATATTTATGTAATATAAACATGTTTAACCAAACAAAAAACTATTCAGCTTTACAATATTAGCATTGATTATTCAATAACAAAAGTAACAAATGTTAAATACATCATTGTGATTTGATACCTCTGTCTAATACTGTAATAATACGAATATCTTGACATTAATTAAAACAAATAATATATAACAGTCTAGACAGACAAACTCACACAGTAATGAGTTTCATTTTACATTTTCGATTCAGTTTAGTTTATTAGATATAAATCAAAATTTTTATCTCATTTACAGATGGTTGACGCTGATGTGTTCCTAACAGAGAAGTTGACCCTCAAAATCCTAGTGAACAAAAATGTTACAGTGGCATCACCAATGCTCTTGTCTGATGGCCTCTACTCCAATTTTTGGTTAGCTACTACCAAGCTTCTTTATATTTAAATGTGAGCTTGAGCATGCTGAAATTTAAATAATTTCCCATTTAAATAGCTGTAATAGTGTATCAAACAGACAGTTCTATAAACTATCTCATTTGTAATACTATCTGAAATCTGAGGTAAATGATACCCAATATGTGTGCAACGTAAAAAGGTATCATTTTATGTTTAAATCAATTTTAATTAAGATCAGTTCTTATCGTCTTGAAGACACAACTGTCTGTTATATACACACTTGTATGATAAAAAATTAACAATTAATTATTAAAAATAATTATTACTCTGCTTGAATCTAATCATATTTTTCTACCTATGCTGTATAAACTCCTTAATTTTTAATCTGTGGAACTATTTCTGGAAGAGATCTAATATTGCAAGTAGCTTGGCAGTACTCTCACATCTGTCAAACTCTCATTTACATTATAATGATATATTCTTCTTTTTCAGGTGTGGGATGACAGAGAAGTTCTACTATCAACGGACAGATGACTATGAACAAATTTTGAGACGAGAAAAGCAGGGCTGTTATGAGGTGCCTATGGTAAACACAGCAGTATTGGTGTCGCTTAGAAGAAAAGAGTCGGACTTTCTTACGTACGATCCGCGCAAAATAAATGACTACAAGGGCCCTGATGATGATATCATCGCATTTGCAATCAGTGCTAAAATGAATGGTATTTATATTTTTTATTACAAAATAAAATGTTTGACGACCTCCGTGGTCTAGCGGTCTAGCACACCGTTTTACGACCGATGGTCGCGGATTCGATTCCTCGCACAGCACAAACATTTGTATTCATGAGTATGATTGTTTGTATCGGTCTGGGTGTTATCTATGCATAATATGTATGTATTTATAATAAAAATATCTATGTATATGTATCAGTGATCTAGTACCCATAACAAGTTAAGCTTTAGCTAGCTTAACTTGGGTCTAAATGGCGCTGTCTGAATTTTCCTGAGATTATTATTATTAATTTTCTTCTCTCTATTGTCTCACTCTCTCCGATTTTGTGGTTTTTTTTTCCACACTTACGGGCCGAAACCAAGTAAGTGCAGTGTGTGTGAGTGTGTGAGTGTGTGTGTGTGTGTGTGCGAACATTATTATTATCTGGGTATTGTCATTTTAATTGTTATATGCACCACTTTAAAATTAACAGAGTATAGAAAAGGCGAAATAACTGTGCAAGAAGAAAAAATCCATTATTTGATGACTTATTGTGATAAAGACTATTTATTTTTCTACATTTACAATTGAACATTAGCCTAAGCCACATGTACAATTGGGTCCTGCATTGTTAGGAAATAATATTAATAGAAATTATTGTAATGTGCAGGTATCAGTCTCAACATATGCAATGACAGACTGTATGGCTTCATACTCGTGCCTTTGGAGGAGTCTGATGAGTTATCAAAAGATTATGATCAACTACTGAACATAAAGTTAGAAGCAATTAGTCGCAAAGTGCCTTTAACATTAAACAAACATTTAGAGGAGTTTGTAACTTACCCCAAACCTTCAAAATTCAAGTGCAGTGAAGTGTATATGATCAATCTGGAGAGGAGAACAGAAAAGAGAGAGCTTATGGAGATGAGCTTCAAGGAACTTGGTATAGATGCGAAGCTTTTTGTAGCTGTTGATGGAATGAAGCTTGATTTGGATGATCTACAGGAGTATTCAATCACCTTAATGCCTGATTATGAGGATCCATTTCATAAAAGGTAATTGATATTACTGCTAACAAGTATAGGTTACTTCATATGTATCAAGTTCTTTTACTGGTGACAGTTAAACTTACTCTAAAAGATTAATGTAGAACTATATGGTTTTTTTTATGGATCTGGAGTGGTTCAGTTGATGGTGAGAACAACTATCTCCTATGTTTCTTGTTCTTTTTTATTTGTTGTTTTAGTTCTTAGCTCGAAAGCACTCTGAACTGACGGTAGATTTGACATATTGTAAGAGTTTATAAAAGACGTACAAGAATAAAAATGTGTTGGTTCTGATTATGTATATGGTTGTTCAAATAAATAATTAAAAGCAAAATGATACTATTGCCACGGACATTACGTCATCATCATATGACCACCATGACACCGTCAAGTATGGTTGCCATTCAAATGGATTATTGTATTGTGCTCCCAAATTCTGTCAAGTTGTATTCTCTTTGTAAGGTTTTACAGGAAAATTAACTTGACGGTTTTGAATTTAGTAGTAGTATGTGTAGTATAGTACGTAGTGTGTGTTATATAGACATTAATTAAAATCGGTACAAATTAGTTGATACTTATCCATGTGCAGCCATTTCGGACTACTTAAGTAGCTTGCCTCCGTATCCAGTAACCTCACTTATATTACACATAAAACGAAACCCAACTTGAAATACAAGCTAAGCATCATCAACCGGTGTAATAACTTAATCATCAAAGGTGGAACTGAGAAGCTTGCAGACAACAACGTTTTTTGATCATTGAAAAATTGTTTCTCTTTGTTAAAGTCATTGTGTTAGGTGTATATAATTTTGTGTGTGGATTTGTTTATTTATGTATATTTTTAAAATTGAATTATGAAATGAAATTGTTCATTTTATTATTTTTAGACCGATGAAAGCGGGCGAGATTGGGTGCTTCTTGAGTCACTACTACATTTGGAAAGAGGTAAAAAATAATTTTACTGTAAATGTGTTAAGATACTACATTACAGTATAATGAAATTATTGTAATATAAATTACTTTAGGATTGTTATTCACGATAACTTGAGACTTCGCACTCACTCGGGATGAATGCCTGTATTATGTTTTGAGATAAAAGTTAGCCCATATCTTTTCTCGTTATACAGTGTATCTTTATATTAAATTTCATTAGAATCTGTTTGTCGCGTAGTTGTGAAAAGGTAGCAAAGAGAGACAATAGTAATTATATTAATAGTATATATAATAGAGACATGACATAAACAGACACCGACCTCAAATAATTGAATAAAGCCAATACAATGATCATCTAGGTAGTGTATAGTGATCATTTCTTACAGATTGTTGAAAAGCATCATTCTACAGCATTAGTGCTCGAGGATGACGTGCATTTCGTTCCATATTTTCGACAGAAGTTCCTGCGATTATTGGATGAGATAAGAAATCTGGAATGGGACCTTGTGTAAGTATTTTACTGTGTTATTACTGCCGTAATTCACTATATTTAAAGGTTTCCATCTATATATCATAATATTATGGTATAAAATTTATATAATAAAAACCGCATGTACATTTATGTATGATGCCTGGATGAGTCTGCAGTGACCCACGCAATCAGGATGCTATGATGTATAAATAATAAGTCCTGGTTGCTTTCCATCTTGATTTATTGAGTACACGATGATGGAGTGTGGACTGATGCTTGCTTGTGAGTATTTGGTGTACTGAACGGAAAATGATACGTGTGAGCATTATATGTGTGTGACGTAGCGTACAATAATAATGTATATTTTTTATATAAAAAACCCAGTTCACCATGTCACCAAGTCCATGCCAGATGTACAAAGTACTTCATTAATACAAATGTATATGGTATAGGGATCGAACCTGCGACAGTGAGAGTAATGTGTTACCGCTACACCATTCAGACCCACAACTTTATTTGTACCTATACATCACGCATATATACACATACTAATTTAGATTTTCTCAACATTTAGTTATATAGGCAGGAAGATACTGCTAAAAGGCGAGGAGCAATATGTGACAGACCATACTACTCGGCCGCTGTACTCCTACTGGACGCTTGGGTACCTGATCAGCGAGAGAGGTGCTAAGAAGTTGCTAGATGCCCGTCCGTTGACAAAAGTGTTACCGGTAGATGAATTCCTGCCCATCATGTTCGACCAACACCCCAAGTAAGTAGTCCTGGTTTTGTAGAGAGAAATATATTATATATATGCTGATGTAATTGGAAGGGCAATAAAGCTAAATGCACATCTGATGGCATTGATGTCTATATACATGGACATCTATTTGAATAGCCCTGCGATCTACGGTCAAACCACTTTACTGCTGACGGTCAGTAATCATGAGTCTGATTCGCATTCTTGTATGTACATTATGTATATACATTAAAAAAATAAGTATTTATATCAGTTGTCTAGTACTCATAGAACAAGCTCTGCTTACGCTGGGACTAAATGGCGCTGTGTTAGTTGTTAGTTATAGATATATAGAGGTCATGCCTCTTCCTGTAATTTCACTGCATTATCTCACTCAATAACCGAAACACAAAATACAAAGTATAAAGTACAAAATACTTGGCGTCTGAAATACGTCATATCACCACCATAAATAAATTTGGTCATACAAATTTCATCGTTTTTCGTCTCCCCCTCATCCTTGTCACATCTGTTCATATTTGAGAATAGTGTAATGTCACAATTTTCATCAACATACCAATAAAGCTGACGGCTCCCCTGATAGGACGTGGAACTTACATTTATGTATGTGTATTCACACTACGGACATCGAGTATGTGTGAATAAAGTTTACAAATAATCTTTTGTTTATTAATATTTATAAACATTTTCAGTGACACATGGAAAGCTCACTTCCCGAATCGTAACTTAATCGCACTATCAGCTGCTCCGCTTCTGGCCTTCCCAATCCATTATACAGGCGAGGAAGGCTACATAAGCGACACCGAGGACTCTAATATCATCGAAATCGACCAGCATGACAACGCTATCAAGCATGAACTCTGAAATGTTAGTTATTGTACGTAAGTCATACCTAAAATGTATCGATTTTATAAGAAATAAATCATGATGCACAATAGCAGGTAAAAAGTGGCGCAAAAATAGAAAGCATAATAGAGAGCGGCGCTGAGAACTCGAGGTTAGTGTAGATACTGAGATAATACCGTCAAGCGAGAACTGTGAAATCTTAGTTTATTTATATTTTATATAACTATGCCTAAATATCATCGATATTAAATAGAATAATTATAAAGCATACGACCGCACTGAAACTAAAATGAGACGAGTACATGAAGTCCATTCATTCAAGCACAAGAATTTGTCTATACTAGTGACCCGTGGGAATTTCGATTGATTTACACATATTTTAACAAATTATACACCTGCACCTTTCGCAGGAACCACTCTGTTCATTAAACCAGATTATTGGTAATATATAGACAGACACAGTGGAGTACTTTGTTTTATAATATGTATGTATACATAGATTATAGATACGTCCTATGTCCTATGTCCTATAGGAAAAAAATCCTGAAATTCCCATGGAAAAAGATTAAAACTAACTAGTTTGTACGGGTAGTGGTATTATGTTAGATTAAACCAACATATCAACATTAGGTAGAATGTTCTAATTCTAATGAGTGAAGAATCTCTGGAACTGTGAATGCATGAGACGAGTTGTGAAAGTAAATTAAACAAAACATATGTAAATGAATAAAAGCCACTCAGTTCTCTCTGCCTAGAGCAAATATTGAAATAGCTCTGGCGTGAAGTTTGATAAAGTATATTTAGTCTGTCTCATGAATATCTCTTTATTTTGTCTCGGTAACTTCCTTATACGGAACTACTGATTTTTGATAAAAATTGTTATAAAATTGATTCACTATAATTAATCACAGTTTTGATTTTTGTGCGGAATTCTGTCACTTGTAATTTTTAATGTATACCACGAATTAAACATAAAATATTACGTTTGAAATATTATATTGCCATAAATAATTAGGTAATAAGATGAACTATTATCGGCTGTTTATTCATGTGTGGCCATTTTCTGTGCCTTTATTTTTATCGCGCCTAAATGTGACAATTATAGTTATATTTGATATTATTTTAAAAAAAATATTTGATGATACTGAGAATATTTTTAAATACTCAAATATATCTATGTACATTCCAAAAGTCAATAAAGAATATAGTCAATTATTCATAAGATAAATATTACTGACAAATGTATTTGCGTATATAGCTATATTAATATTTTTTGAATGTATATGCTTTATTGTGAAATACAACAGAGTATTTTCATTATTCTTATATAAGTAGGTAACTTTTTAATATTTTTTATCGATTAGAAAGCTAGCTATGTTACTTTCAATGTCATTGGAACGATTAAGCAATAAAGAGTATTTTTATATATACTCAGTGTTGCAACATATAATTATGTTGTCATTATTATATGTATAATATGTTGCCATATGCTATTTTATTAGTAATACGTATATACTAACGATAAATGCAAAATACAGTCATTCTATTTCTTTCATAATGTATTTCTAGAAATTCTTAAATAGAAAATTACATTCTAATTGCTGTATATGCAAGTATAGTTAGTTATTACGGTAATGATATAATCATTACCGTAATAACTATATCCTCTATTACTAATAATTATTAAAATACATTTAATTGGTCGTTAATTTTATTATATGCAAATCCTGTTTGGAAGGGATTCCATTTATGAATAAAATTAATCAATAATTAAAATAACATGAATGAAGTTATTTGTGGTCATAATTAAATAACTTTATAATTCTCTCTATTAATACCAAAAATATATTAGAATAATTTAGATTACAAATATAATTTGTATAATTTAATAATGTACTGACAAGCAGTTCCTATACTATACAAAGGAAGAAGATGGCAGGTCGCTCATAAACGACGTGGTGGCCAGATCAGTTGCTAAATGTGAAATTTTTATTATTGATGAACTTTATACCTACAACAGTAACATTAAACATATTGTAAGCAAAAGAAATACTGTTTACATCACTCATTCTAATAGTTTAATAATGAATAGGTAACTATTTTAATTATATACTATTATATATTATATATATACCAGACTGCACTATGTGAATTGTCCTCAGATTATTATTACATATATAAGATTAAAAAATATTAATCATTAATATAAAAAAATAATACAGATCAGTGGAATAAGAGAACATACTGCGCCGAGACCAAATAATGGAATAAAGGCAAGGTAATGATGATGATGATGATGATTAATAAATAAATACCTTAGTAGTACAAGGTGGATTTTGTTGAAAGTGGGTTGCGTTGTAAGCTGTATTTCAGTTGAAATGAGAGATAAGAAGTCAGTACTGAAAATCGTGTAATTTAACTAAATAACAGGAGAAGCGGTATGACATCTTGTCCTCTGGAACGGTAACGCAGCGGTACTACGGCGTAACATGATAATGTTATTACCATAGTTGTGTTCATGTACACTGGCGTCATTTTGTTTGCCATTCTATTGTTTTTTAAATAAATCTATATCTCGTGTCCAATAAGAAGATAATATCCAATATCGATATTTAAAATGTTTTCATAGATATAAAACTTTCATAGTGCATTTTATTTTCAAATGTAATTTACCATATAGCTCTTTTAATATGTATGTTTATAAGTAATTTGCAAAGATATTGTGTATTTTCATTTGTAAAACTCTATTCTTCGACCTGCCTGCTTAGTTTTTATTCATGTTGGTTTATGTATGTAATTTTAATGAATTAATACTAGTGTTAGTTTTTATAAGTGGTCAATTTACAATTGTCTAACTACGATTGACACAACTGCTAAGATATTGTGCCATAATATATTGAATGTTATAAGTCAAATGTTTTTATGCAAATTATAAAATATTGTAACAATCAATGAAGCCTTTTCATTGCCAATACGATTGCACCCATCAGATTATGACATCCATTCAATTACTGATTTGAAATAACTTCAAAAATTGCGGTGTTCTGTCTAGAATCTATTATGGTGAAGAAATTTGTAAGAAATTGTATATTTCTAAAAAAGTATATAACAAGACGACTAATGAAAGAAGTAATAGTGATTTGGTCTGCAAAGTTGGTGTAATTATAAGGATCGACGATACAACCACTTTTGTTCTGGCTTAAGACCCAATGATGGATTCACTGTCGTCTAAAAATTACTGTGTGAATAACCCTTGCGAAAAGCTGAGGCTTGCTGTCGAACGCTGCTATCGGTGTCACAGTCATGAATCTCTTAAATGTCAGGATACGGTGGAGAAGTTTATTGAATGTTATCGTGTATATGCTAGAAAACGTCTCTAATTAATAAGCGCGATCATACTACAATAATGTGATTACGTTTATAAAACAAAATACTTATGTCAGGGATTTAATAAAATCATTCAAACTGTTAAAATGTTTATTATTCGTCAAATGTCACAATTTAAGAAAATTTGTTTCTTACTTATAAAAAATTAAATTCGATTATACAAGTTACAAATTACAATATTGTTATATTTTTTTGTCTGCCAATAACTGTGTTATGAGTTCTATTATTGTTCTCGTAGGCCGACCCGTCATTCCGCGGCTCAAGTATGGGAAATCGCGTCCTTTGCTATATGCAACGTTGTAAGTATCGAAATGGACCCATTTGCTGTCACAAATAAACTGCTTTAGGAAGGCGGCGCAAGTTGGCGAGTCACCATACTCGTGTCGGCCTGTATTTGCAACGTCTGCAGTTTGGCAGTCCAATACACGGTCTTCGTAGAACTTCCAAAGTGGCATTCTCCAGATCCTATCCCCTGTCTGGCTGCTCGCTGATTCAGTGTAACAGAATAACTCCTCTGAGTTAGTATAACAAGCACATGCGGCCCCATCCAAGGTATGCACTAACTCTTTTGACATAGTACCAATGTCGACAATAAATTTTGGCCAGTAGTTTCTTGCGTACACTAAACTGTCAGCTATGAGAAGTCTGCCCTCTCTCGATGGAAGTCTTACGTGTATTGTTTTATCATTGGCGCTGTAAACCACGTCACCAAATTTTGGACTGTTTCCGTTGGGCATTAACTCGCATAATGGCAGTATGCCTCTTATGTTGACAGGTAATTTTAATCTCGCCGCAGCTCTTGTGGTAGCTAAAACACAAGCCGCTCCAGCCATGTCACCTTTCATGTATCTTAATTCTTCCGGTGGCTTTAAATCTAAGCTTCCGCTATCAAATGTAACCCCTTTACCTATAAGTATTATCGGTCTAGTACATTCATCGGCTCCAAAATAACTGATTTCTACATACAAGGGAGGTTGTACTGACGATTTCCCTATAGCTACAAATCCACCCATTTCGTGACTTATTGCCCAACCTTGTGTTTTCACTTCTACGTTTATATCAAGTTCACATAAGAGATCTACAGCGATTTTCGCAAAAGAGGTTGGATTCAATATATTCGCGGGCATTTCTTGCAGATATCTGGCTAAATTTTGGGCTTCCGCTTTCCTTTTTCCAATTTTCCAACCCAAAAAATCGCAGTCATCGTAAAGTTGAAGGGTAGATAATGGAATTTTTCTTTGTTGTGTAGAATTTCTATATTCCTGAAATTGCCAAATTGCAAGTGCTGCACCCTCTGCTGCTGCTTCTGCATTTCCGAAGGACTCCACGTGAATGCTTTTAGGATTGAGCGGGCGTAGAGCTTTAGCTCCTACGCCTGCAGCTACTCGTATAGCTTCTTTATTTTCATCCAATTGCTCCGTTGGATTAAATGATAAACATTCGGAACCAAGGCCTGTTACGGCAACGTATGCAAATTCAGGATCTAAATCATAAAATATTCTATGTTCACCTAATTTTGGTGTAGGAGTCAGTTTTAACACTTCCCATAGTTTTCCACCTACTTTTTGGTTGTATTTCTCAGCGCTAGCAGTAAGAATCGCTGCTTCGCCTTTCACATTTTCATTATAATATATACCCAGAATGAGTCCTTTGTCTCGATGAATACATGCCTTGGGATCTATAACTGTACGTGGTGGATTCACAGGCACCCAATCACATTGTGGAATCCGGAATTGAGATATCAGGCGCGTACATTTTTGATACAGATAACGTGCACCGATCCGAAGATCTAACATAATAAATTTTGTAAAAAACAGATTTTCAAAAATAATAGACTTAAAAATATGACTGCATAACCAACTAGTTTTAGATGTTTTCACTTTTTATTAGAACAAATTTGCAACTCATTTAGACAACATGAGTAGTTTATATTACATAATTAAGTAAATCACAATATCACACAACATACATGTTCACAGTACAATCAAATTATCGCACAATATGTCTTTTGGAAAAGGTCAGGAAGTTTTTTTCTTGATCCAACTTGGAGTGTGGCGCTTAACCCACTCTGGTATATTTGATAAAAGTGTTTCTTGCAACTGCCGATAGATAATGAGTATCAGGAAAGGGATTGCCAGTCTCTCATCTTTAAAGAAATAAACCCAGAAAGCTAAAAGCAGTAGGCACATATCTACCATGTAATCGATTGCAGATCTTACAGTTACTTTAGCCTTTTCCTCTAGCTCTTGATAATCTATAGGTATTACAATAGTTGCTCGTTCAGTTTTTTTCAAAACTATTTGTTGGGTACATTTTCTGTTTTGTGTTTCCTCGGAATTATTTTGTTTATCTATAGAATTACGCGTTGTTAGTTTTTCTTTTTTTATTAATTTTGGTTTTTCCATATTAGGTACCTGTTTCGGTTTAGGTTTTGTAATGGAATTGGCAGTTTTATTTTTATTTACCGGCGTTTTGATATCATTCGTTTTATTGGCTATTGTCTTTTTTGGTTTAACTGTTTTCCTTTCTTTGGTTCTTGTTTCATCTACATATTGTTGTTTTTCTGCAACATTCTTCAAGTCTTCCGTGTTTAGGTAAAGAGGTGTCACAGGTTTCTTTTGACCACCATATTCTTTTACAATATTAGTATAATAATCTATTACGGTTCTACCTTCCTCGCTAATTTTATCTTGAACTTTCTCTATTTTGTTAATCTTCTTGTTTGTGTCGTTAGGTAAATTATCTTGTGGTAATTTTTGAGGTTCCTTTTTAGAAAGTAATTTCGGGAATTGGAAAGGTTTCTGAACTGGCATTTTAGTAATTCTTTTGAATATCTTCATTTTGTCATCTTTCTTTTGTTTATCTTCTTTGATGTTTATTTCTCCTAGTTTTGGTTTTTCGTTTGAGTTTTGTGATGTTAAATTGGGCACAGGCTTAGTTTCTGGTATGTCTAAGTCCCTTCGTTTCAATATCGGTTTGGGTACAAAATTAGGATCGGGCAGAGGTAGAGGTTTTAGTATTTCTCTTTCTGACTCTTCTTCTTCTTCTTCCATTAGATCATCATGAGAAGAAGGTCGAGATACTTTATTTCTCGGATTGTATGTGTCTTCTTCATTTGAGTACTGGCTTCTTCTATCTAAATCTCCATCTAAGCTACCATCATCTGAATAATCTCCATCTGTTGACACAGTACTCGCTGTGTAATCTTCATCGAATGATATATTTTGATGCCATCTGTTTTCGGACGTTTCCGAATCTTGAGAAGCTTGTCGCGAGTTATATTCGTATTCTCGATCTTCAACAGAATCTGATTTGATAATTATATTTGGCATTACTAGTTTTGCTTGAATCGGTTCTGATGGCGATGTGAATGTTTCATTATCGTTGTTTATTATATCGCGGCTATTGTCGTACGGAATGTCTGCATTGTGGTCAGTTTTAGGTTTATCCTCTTTAGTTTGTTTTGTTTGTTCTTCTTTCATAGCCACGGCTTTATAAAATCGTGCCATAGCTCTTTCATGTAGGAGTTCTGTTGAGCTGACAGCATTGCGGAGGGCCTTGAAAGGCATAATGCAACGCGAACTAAGCTCAGGTGCTGACAGAGAAATGGGTGGCGGAGATAGAGCATCCTCCAAGTCCAATTGGAAAGACTTTCTCTTTTCTGAAAATTGAAAGATAACTTATATAGGAAGTTTATTAATCACATATATAGATAAACATTACTATTACATATTCTGCATGTAATAGTAATGTTTTATCTATATATAGGCAAATAATTTAATAGGCTAAAGATATTTATAGAAATTGTCTATTTCTATTCTATTGGGTTTATCTATACTAATATTAAATATAATTTTAATAAGGAGGTACATTCTAAGTTGCTGTGTTTCAGGCAGCCACTGATCAAATTTTGAATATTCTTTTGATGTTGGATAGCCCATTTACCGGGGAATCTTACATAACATCACGCTGCAACCAATAGTAGCGAAGATGTAATGAAAATGTTGTGAAAACGGGGAAAACGTGAAACAGACGAAGTTAAGCGGGTCAGCTAGTCAAAATCATTTTTTTTTAATCTTATCGATATATTTAATACTACCAGAAAGCTCTGCGTTTATTATATAAACGATACAGTTCGCATGGTTGTTTATAAAAAGTGATATGGATATATGTACGTGTATTCGCATAAGCTGCAACGTAGTTAACAATACAGTTTTGTTAGTTTTGTTAGCCGGTGTTCTAATCAAGCGAGCACGGCGTGCGTCCGGGAGTATTTATAGGCCAAAAATATGCGCACAGCCGTTCTAACGATATTCACAACGAATTGCCTTTTACTCGATAATTTTCAGACGTTTCACTTAATCTTACAATGTTTTATTATATTTATATACATAGCAAAACCTTTGTAGGTATCCATTTTTAAAGCAATTACGCGGCCGATGGCATATGAAATTTGGCTTAGTTAAAGTTAACATGGAAAATGAGTAAATTACTAATATGTACTTTTTTATAATAATGATATAGAATATATTATTTTAATAAAAGATATATTACTCATCTATGAGATCGATATATACACACATAAAATATATATATTAATCATTGACCACAGAAAATTAATGATGCTTAACAAAAGGAATTTTTGTACTCACATATGTATAAATGGCTAGGTTTACTTACTAGATGTATTAACGTTACATCTAAATAGGTTGTAATTTATATAACATTTTGTTTTTACTAAAATAGTTAGCACGAAATAAGCTGATCTAAATCTGTTAACTAATGATTTCGTTCGGTTCTAACAAATAATATTTAATTCATAATTGAGGAGACAAATGTTTTTACTCAATAATTTCTACTTGTATTAGTATTACAAATAAGTAAAACAAATTCATATTTCATATATTTATCAAAATACTGTTTGAATTCACGTATAGTACTGGTCTACACATAGAAAAAACATTAACTACTAACTACAGCGTCTTATGAAAATGACGTAACTCGCTTAGCATTATTAATTATTACTCGCTTTGATTCTATGTTATTTATATAGTTTTGTAGGAAAATCATAATAAATAATAGTAGGTATATAGTTCCTTACCGGTTTTGTCATCCGATTTGCTGTCCGGGTAGAGGACGAGCATGAACTCGCTGCTTCCGGTAGGATCTTTGTCTTTAGCTGGGGAGGTACGCATCATTCGCGCCGGTGGTGCTGCTTCAGGAGCTGTGGTCTGTGCTCGCTTGCGGCGAGGAGCCGGCGAAACTCGTGGCTCCTCTCCTTCCTCTCGTGTCAGCACTTCGTTTATAATACGAGACTCCACTGCTAAGAATTCCATGTCCACAGCTCTTCCTGGTATTTTCACTGGTGCCGACTCTACACTCGGCGCACTCATGCCATATGGGCTTTCGGCTTTAACACGAAATCGGTATTCGCTCCCTTCTATCAAATCAAACAGGGTCACATTTGTCTTTCGACTTGTGGTAGCTTTTAGCCATACGTTCCAACCGCTGCGATAATATTCGACAACATAGTTGCCGATGCGACAACCTCCATCGTCCTCCGGTGGCTCCCAATCTAATGTAACTGATTTGTCAACTTGACGCGTGACAGAAACACGCCTCGGCGGGTCTGGCGGTGCAGTTATTGTTACCAAAAACGCTGCTATATCCTCACCTATATTGTTTCTTGCATGTATTTGGTATTCCCCTCGATCGCTCCTTCTTGCTGAATGAATTTTTAGCACAGAGAATTTGGGAGAATTTGAAATTTCCACTCGTTCGTCGACGACTATGGGTTGACCGTCGTGTCTCCATTCAATAGTAGGAGTAGGTTTACCCACGATTGTCGTTTTTAAATATACAGTTTCGTTTATTTCGTATAACAAACCATCTTCGTATTGTCGTGGATAACGCAATTTTGGTGCCGCTTCTAGAGCGAGGCGCGCTTTTGTGACTGCATGTCCTACTCGGTTGGTTGCAGTGCATTTTATTTCACCTTCATCACTTGCGAGAGTTTGGTGAAACACGAGTACACTGTTTGACTCTGTGGTCGTGATCGCCGTGCGTCTGCTACTGAATATTTCATAGTCATCTTTAAACCAAGCGATGGTGGGTGTTGGCGCACCAGTGAAAGTAACACGGAACTCCGTTTTGTCATTCTCAAGTGCGGTAATATCATTCAGATGCTCAAGAAAAATGGGTGCTTCTTGGGCGCCTCGTTCGAAGCTGACGGTGAGGACGTCAGATAATTCGCTGTATTCGGAGCGACCGACACCATTCAGAGCTGCAACACGGAACTGATAGCGATGCGGAGGCTCGAGGCCACTGAGAACCAACTCAGGGCGAACTACGACAGGTGGCGCAGTGCGAATCCAGTCAGCTGAGCCAAGCCTATTGCATTCTACTTGATAACCCTGTAAAGGGGCACCCCCATCGTGGGCTGCCGGCGTCCATTTCAGCGTGATCGCATTCGGTTCATCATCAGTTAATATCGGAATAATATCCGGTTTTCCTGGTGCTGCCGGCCGCCCTGGAATAACATAATTTTAAAGTTGTAATAAAGGTAGGACTTGTAATTTATTTCAGACGACTGAAAATCGACAGATGACTGTTGATATATAAAACATTAAGTATGAATCGAGGATAACTAGCCGAGTGAAGTAATTTGGCATAAAACTCTTAACAAAATTAGATGCGTGATAATCGTTACATGAACGCCGACGGTCTTACGATTTGTTTTGTTGTGCCACGCTTTAGGAATCGCAGCGGGCAGTCTTTTTAAAAATAGAAATGTAGACAGGGGCCTCAGTGTGCGTACGACAGGTGTGGTAGGAGTGAAACGACGGTTCGGTTTCGTAGTCGAGTGTAAAGATGGTTACCTGCGGATTTCCAGTGCACGTTCTTCCTGGGCTTTAGAGAGGCGTGTGAGGCTGAATGTTGGTTGCCCATGGCGGCGGCGGCGCGCGCCGACACACTGATCGCAGGGAGCTCTCACCCGCGCCCCCGCGCCCCCGCGCCCAGCGCCGCCCGCGCTTGGAATAACTTCGCGCAGCCGCCGCCCGCCCGGATGCGATCTTGATGTTTGATCGATACGTTTCATTAATGATTACCGGTAGGTTACGACCTTTGGCGCAGCTATCGATCTATGCTCATCATAAATTTGAACAACAAGCACAAATGCCAAACAGTAATAGGTTTTTACTGAAGTAATTAATTTATCGTGTTATATGTTAGTGAACCAAATAAGAGAATAGTTCCATACGTTTATTAATGTATCATGTGTGTAATATTGAAATAGAGACTATCACTGTAATGTGTATATATTTATTGCTTTTTATTTGTACCAGTAAACGCCATCTGTTACTTATTCCAAAAATCACGTCAATGTAAAACAGTTGTATGCTAATTGTGTGTACGTGTCTCTCAAAATCATTGCCAAAAAATCTTACACGTTTCTGTAAGATGTCAGTGTGCAATGTTATTTAGACGTCTGCAAACTAGATGGTGCTAGTTGTCTGTGTATTTCATCATTATTGTGAAAGTTTAAAGTTTCGTAACTTTATTGCGTTCATCCCAATCCTGTCTGTTTACACTGCTACCCGTCAACGTCTACCGTTAACAACTACTAGTTTAACAACATACATAAAATCTAAATGTCGCAACTAGAGAAGGATTAGCTTACCGACTACCACTTTTACCAAGTGATTTTCTATTTAGTTTTATTCAAAACTTTATTCCCTCAGACGACTTACAACATTCTGGGTATGAAAAGGAGATCCATTCTTATGTTTCATCATTTATCCATACTATATCATATTGTAAATACAAAAAACATTGTTACCTAATTATTATTGAACTCCAGAGCGGATACTTATGAAAGTTATAAGAATAGATATAGAAGGTACTTTTTTGAATTGATGACAATGGAATGGTACTCCCACCTGGGCTTACGGTTTAAGCTGGTGGGACACCAGTGAGGGCTGAAAAGACGGGCATGAGGTCAGCTGTTAATTAAAATTGGCAAATTCCCTATGAATTTATCACAAGGATTTCTAGGGGACAACACCACGTGTAGGTAAACCTGATATTGTACATTGCTATCAATAGGGTTGTCCTCATATAGCAAATTGGAGGTCCACATTACTAATAATACCCTTCTCCCAAATGTATTACGCTTCGCGCTATCGGCTATCTATTGCATTTCGACATGGGGTTTGGTAATTATTCATTGTAAATAGAAAAACAACTGTCTCGTAGAAATATTTTGTGACAGAGCAGAGCTTTTGCGTCAACATTAACTAGGTTTGATACCGGTGTGTTGTTTGTTGCGCGGAGCGCGTTTTTCTTATAAACTCGACTTTGACCAATCAGAATATTTTTAAGTGGTAAACAATGGAGAAGAAAATTTGTTCTCGATCAGTCAAACCGTTTCGGAGGAGTATCGTTAAAAAGAGTGCAATTTTGATCTCTAAAATAGCTCCTCTCTTCACACTTCGCTCAACAATAGAGAGTCCATGACCTAATATATAATATAATACCCACTTGTTTTTAAAATTTTAAATAATATCATATGATACCGGCGGCTTCGTCTACATTTTTACATAAAAAATAACATGTCTGACCTCGTGTTACAATTTTTCGTCACCTCAAACTTCTATTAGATCAGTTGCCGGGAAAAGTTAACGAACAGATAAATACAGATAGAGAAACCGATTTTGTACTTATAATATTAGAATGAATACTCATTTATCTATTTACGTACATGCAATTGTTAACTATTGCGTGATGCATCATTAATTAGAAATGGTGGAAAGAAAGTCATATATATAATATATAATACACATCGTCGATTCATATATCTAAGTTATTTAAAGTAACCTAAAACGGTACGTCAGAGGCCACAGCCAAAATAAACTTACCATTTAAAAAAAAATACAGTTATTTATTTATTGAGGAATTTTCTTCCAGTCAACCAGTGGGCAAATAAAAATTCAAGTTGACGGTGCATTATATAATTTTTATAGATAAATGTAAAAAAATAATAATTTTAAATGTAATTAAACATATATACATACATATTAACAAATATAAACAACCATTCTTATATACAGTCCATACAGTACAGTACAGTCCATAGTTATCCGTCATTCTAACAAGAAAAAAACAATAAACGGTTCGAACGGCGAGTTTAATTTTAGAATTATTTGTAATACTTCTTAATGTGCATTATAGAGATTTTAACTCAATATTCGCCTTGTTATTCAATGTGAGTTAAAACAATAAGAGTGTGACTGATCGGTGTCGGTATGTGGAAGTTATGCGAGAAAAACTATTATTGGGTACTTTATCGATGCAAAGGAACCCAAAAAGCAATTACTGTTAGAATTTTTGAATGATTGTTTGTTCTTTTGTCGCTATTTTCAGAGCCGGCTTAAACATATGGGGTTTTCACATATTTCAATATATTAGAAACAAACACTTCCTACATTTTAAGCTAAAGCTATTAGCTTAAAATGTAGGAAGTGTTTGTTTTATTCTAATCGGTTTACAAACAACATACATGCATGTGGTCTCGAAACTTATTTTTAATAAAGTGTTTCGATTGCTGTAAAATCGAATAGAGGCCATCTATTTTCCACGACTTAACTCGCATACCGGCTTGTAATTCGCTGACAAGATTTATTATACACACTATGCTGACATATTCGATTTCTGAGTATTTTATACTAGACTACCGACTTGCCTCAGCTTTGCACAGGCATTCCTATTATTATTTTTAATTATAGACCCGAAAGGAAGACTTTCCTTAGATCGCAAGATATCTGTTAAGTGCTTTATGAGGCTCTCGAAACAGCAGGGCATTTAGTAATACCTAATATTTTTTTTTTATCGATTATGATGAAATCTTGTACCAGTGTAAAATTATAATATGAAAACAAAATTGAACAGCGATAATATCTAAATATTTTTTATATTATTCCTTCCAACCCTTTCTTTCTTAAAAATTGAAATAGAATAGAATAGAATAACTAAACGAATAGAACTACCTTTTTCATTGTTATTATAAGTATATAGGTACCATATACATAGTATAAAACAAAGTCGCTGTCGCTGTCTGTCCCCATGTATGCTTAAATCTTTAAAACTACGGATTTTAAAGCAGTTTTTTTAATAGATAGAATGATTCAAGAGGAACGTTTATATATATAATACATGTATACCCGTGCGAAGCCGGGGCGAGTAGCTAGTATTATATAAAATAAACTGTGCAATGTATTACTTATGATATAAGGACACAATGTCTTTAAACTGCAATATAACATTAAAAAGTATTCCATCCCTAAATAGTAGTTTTATTATTTTGTATTTTGTATAAGTAGTGCCATCCCTAAATGATAGTTTTATTATTTTGTGTCTATGCTATTGTCATGTCTAGCGTTGCCAGGCGTCCGGATAAAGCCGGACACAGTTAGGCTTTTTGATTGCGTGTCCGGCTAAAATAAACGGTGTCTGGCTTGTCCGGCTTTTGCTAGGCTATTTTATTTATTTTTATTGTTTAACTTAAAAAGCAGACGTTTTGTTTTGTTTAGATTGTTTTCTGAATGGTTTGGCATAATAGCAGGGAAATAAGACTTATTTGTGCAAATGCTTTTTATTAGAATTTCAGAAGGATTTAAAAATGTTGAACTGTTCAGTTAGCCAATTCTGATGAATTCATTAGGAACCACGAAGTTTTCTAATTTTAATTTGATATCTACAATGTTAGCAGCGTAACCCGCTGCTTATTACCCATTATCTTAACAATGTGCTCTTTCACACACATGTATGGTTGATGTATAGGAAAATATCACATGTGTTTATACCAAAAAGATGTCTGACATACAAATCGGTAACAACAACTTTTTGCTGGATCTATTTTGGTACAAACACGATGTATTACAACGGCAAAAGTAAACAATATAATTAATCTAGCACCTAATCTCAGAAACGTGAACAAAAACACATTTTTATGATCTAGATTTAGTCCAGATTACATTGCATAAAACTGAGATGTAAAAATCTCGTAAAATAGTCATGGATTAATGGTTACAGAATCGACTTATGTCTAAAAGGTTGTTATTACAAATCTGCCAACTATAACAATTAGGTATTTATGTGTAAATTCATATTTCTGATTGACTCTCTAGTGATGACACTATTAACAAACCACGCTATGTAATTAGACTGCGCCGTGGCGGTTGGATCACCCCCTGCAACGTTTGATTCGAAATTCGAATTAACAAGTGCATGGGCATGTCAAGTGCTCACATCCCGCGCCCCTGACTTATAGTATGTATTAAAGAAAAACTCATTAACAAAACAGTAAATAATGTTTAAAATAATATTAAATTACAACAGATAGTGTCAGATTGTGTCACCCAAATATATCAAAGCTATGACACATGGCAGCGCAATCAGTATACAAAGACGACAGGCGTGTGCTACTTTGAATTAATGATTATTTTTAGAATTACTGGGTCACTTATCGAATCTGCTGATTTACTTGCATTTTCAAGAAACTTCATAAACGAGCGACTCAGGTCGAAAGTATTCATAGTTCAGTGCACTAGTTTCTAGTTGATTTATTCACTCCCCTATTCCATTCAAATTTTAGTACGACTGATCTCCTTTGTGGAATGATATTTGTGAAATACTTAGTTAAATCTTTTTAACATAATTCGTTTTACTAAATTTTATAAAAGGTTACACTTGCATCTGTAATTACTATATTTAAGAGCTTCGCGTTATTTTTGTTTCGAATGGTTGAACAGGTAGAGTTTATCTTACTGGATTGGTCTAGTCTCAGTCTATTCTCTATCCTAGATTTATTTTTCTAGCAAGTAAAAGTAAAATATCTGTAATAGTATATAGGATGTAATGTAAACAGAAAATCGGTTTTGGCGTTTATCCATAACACCAATGACTTCAATATTTTACAGTCAAAACATCAACAAATAGAAAGA